GCCTTCTTTCTTTTCAATGCCAGAGAAAAATCTCACGGAGGGAGCAAAGTGGGGTCTCAGCGAATCATGATTTCTCTGCATTTCCCCACCCCCACCCCAATCAAGGGCCTAGTCTAACATCAATCGCCGCCCCCTCCTAGGCTCTGTGCCCCCACCCGCATGAGTCACGCTTCTCAGATCCGATTGTTCACGGTCCTCCTCAGTCCAAAGCTCTTGATGGATTTGGTAATTGGAGTAATTACGGTAATTTTACCTTAAAGACAGGCAGCTGCAGATTTCCTACTGGGGAGGCCCCTCCCTGGGCCTCCTGCCAGCCAGTATTCAGGGACAATGACAAGTGGCTCCCATTCCCTTCCCCCAGAATGCAAAGTGGTGGATGGGGTGACATTCTCAATAGAGGGCATCTCAGCAGCCCTGCCTCCCCCCCCCCCCCCTTCCCGGGGCTGGGGGCAGCAGGGGGCTGAGGGCAGCAGGAGGGTTTGTCAGGAATCATTCTCCTTCCCTCCAGCCCAGCCCTGGTTCTAGGCACTTGCAAAGCTCAGCAGCGACATCCTCTTGTTCCCTATCCAGGCCTGCAAACCAAGACCCAGGACCTCTCAGTCTGTGGGTGGAGTTCTTTCCAGATTCCTCAATGCCCCAGTTACACGTGCTCTGTGGTCTCGGGTGTGAGGGACAGGCAGGAGGAATGGAGCCTTGGACATGACCGGGGAGAGTCACCTGTCCACAGCCAGGTGCCAGGCAGCACCCTTCCCCCCTCCACCCCAGTCAGAGCCGGCCTGCCCTGTCCCCCAGGGCAGCCTGTGGAATGTTTGCCTTCCTCCCATGCCCCTCAGATGCCAAAGAGGAACGTGCTGGGGAGGACGTGGGCGGCGGAGCGCTCTTCTGATTTCCAGGGTAGAAGGCTTCTCAGCGGAGGGACTTCAATGAAGGCCTCAAAGAACATGTGAGACGCCTCTGGAGGGCCTGGCGCAGTCAGCAAGGCAGCTCATGCAGGGGATTTGGGACCCTATTGAAGGCTGTCAGGGCAAAGCTGGGGCGGTCTCAGAATTCCCAGCGGGGTGGTTTGGTAGATTTAAACACTTCCGGTCTTCCCAAATCTCTTAGGATCCGTTTCCAGTCCCTACTAATCTGCCCACTGCCCACTGCCCACTGTCCACTTCCACACCAGCCTCTCAGTGTCTCCTCTGCTCAGGGCCAAACACACACTGTTCTTACTGCCTTGATTACCTCTGTAAGAGCCCCATCTCCAAATACAGTTACCTTGGGAGTTAGGGCTCCAACATATGAACTTGGGAGGAGGGGACACAATTTAGTCCTCAACAGGCTTCTTAAAAGAAACATGCTCTCAGCCCTAGCTGGCCCCAGACGGCAGAGCCTGGAGAAGCTGGGCACCCACTGTGAGTTGTGCTAACCCAGCAGCACACTGGCGCAGGATCATCAATCACCATGATGCCACAGGGTGGAAAAAGATGAGCCCCCAGATAGCGTGAAGATGAATGGGGACACTGACATGTGATTAAACTGGGATCCTCACTGATAGCTGCAGACCCACTCTGCGTGCAAAGTTAGCACAGCCAGGCCTGGGTTCCTGGCACCCAGCAGGACACCTGCCCCTCCCCCTGCCAAGGTTAAAGAACTGTACTCTATCCACACAGCTCCTTGTCATGCTGGCTCTGTAACTGATGCGTGAGGCATGCCAGTGGACAAGCACGGTGCTGGGAACCGTGGGGCCGATCTTGTCATTAGTCACCATTTCAGGCTGCCTGGCTCTTGTTAATAATTCATAATAATGATGCCAGCACTGGATGCGCACTTGCTATAGGTACTTCAGGAGCGTGTCCTCATTTTCACACCTCAAACCAAGTCAGGTGGTGAGGACAACAGTTTCTGGAGGAAACAGGCAGAGGGGTAGAGAGCAATTCAAATGCATCCACTCATTTGATGGGTTTTATGGGGCACCTACCATGTGCCATCATATCCACAAAGGTGAGCAACACCCACAGGTCTCTGCCTTATGTCGAAGAGACAGATGATAAAAAACTAATTAAGTAAAATAATTTCAGGTAATGATAACCAAGTAATTTAATTAATTAAGGAGAGAGAGAGAGAGAGAGAGAGAGAGAGAGAGAGAGAGAGAGAGAGAGAGAAGGAGAGCAAAACTTCAAGCGGCATGGTCAAAGAAGGCCTCTTGAAGGAAGGGACATCTGAGGTGAGACCTGGAGGTGAGAGGAGCTGCCATGGGAGTATCTTGTGGGAGAGTGTTCTAGGCAGAGAGACCAGCAAGTGCAAAAGCTCAAAAGCAGGAATGAACTTGGTGTCTGAGGAATTGAAAGAAGCTCACCTGGCGGACTCTGCACAGTGAGGGGCAGCGTGAGAGAAAGGGCATCAGAAACATTAAATGGGCCTCATAGGTCAGGGTAAGGACACTGTTTTAAGTGGAATGGGGTCCCTCTGGAAGGTTTTCTGTAGGGTTGAATTTTAGTAGAATTGAATTTTGTTTTAAAAAGGGCCACTTTACAGAGGATAGCTAAGAGGGCAAGAAGGGAGAGACAGAAGTACAAGAAAGCATAGAAGACACTAAAATTTTGGACCATTGTCAACACCATCCTGATCACTATCGTCATCATCACCATAATCATCACTATCATCAGCATCACCATCATCAATATCATCACCATCACCATCCCACCACCACCAGCACTACCACCACCACCACAATGACCATCATCATCATTACCATCCCACCACCACCAGCACTACCACCACCACCACAACGACCATCATCATCATTACCATCCCACCACCACCAGCACTACCACCACCACCACAATGACCATCATCATCATTACCATCCCACCACCACCAGCACTACCACCACCACCACAATGACCATCATCATCATTACCATCCCACCACCACCAGCACTACCACCACCACCACAATGACCATCATCATCATTACCATCCCACCACCACCAGCACTACCACCACCACCACAATGACCATCATCATCATTACCATACCACCACCACCAGCACTACCACCACCACCACTGCCGGGGTCCAACCCCAGCAGGTCCAGGGGTCCCCAAAGGTGTGGACGGAGTCGGCGAAGAAGGAATGACGCGGAGACAGCGTTCAGTTGATCAGCAGCCTAGCCAGGATCTCCAGCCAAGTTCTGGTCTGGATCTCCAGCGAAGTTCTGGCTAGGATCTCCAGCCAGGTTCTGTGTCCATGTTCTCTTGCTAGGTTCTCCAGGATCTCCAGCCAAGTTCTGGTCTGGATCTCCAGAGAGGTTCTGCTTCAGATCTCCAGCCAGGTTCTGTGTCCATGTTCTCTTGCTAGGTTCTCCAGCCAGGTTCAGTCACCAGGTTCTCCAGCCGGGTTCAGTCACCAGGTTCTAGTCAGGTTCTCTTGCCAATTTCTGTAGTCAGGTTCAGTCCAGGATCTTTTGCCATGTTCTCTCGCTAGGTTCTGTCTCTAGGTTCTGAGGCCAGTTTCTGTCCAGGATCTTTTGCCATGTTCTCTCCAGCGAAGTTCTTCTGTCTCTAGAGAACGTTCTGTGTAGGTTCTGTGCCTAGGTTCTCTCTCTCTTGGTTCCGTATTCTAAGTTCTGTCTCTTGCTGTCTTATTACGTCTGTATTTATACCAGTTGATTCAATCCTATCAATCTCTATTACAAAGGTTAGGGCGTTTCTTATCTCCATTCCAGGGAGTAAAGATTATGTAGCTTAAGCATGATTGTTCATAGTTAAAGTGATTAATTACCCACCTGGCACTTAGTTAAGAGGTTTTATTCCCTCCCTAACTTCAGGGGAAAATCCCTACCTGGGGAAACAACCTTTCTCAGAGACCTTGGTTAAAACACATAGTGCCAAGAAGGTGAGCAAACATATTAAGAACAGTATGCCATATATGCCAGGTCCCTTGAAACAGCAAGCATGGACCGGCTCCCGGCACACCACAATGACCATCATCATCATTACCACCACCACATCACCGTTGCTATCACTATCATCAGCATCACCATCACCATCAGCATCACCACCATCATGGTTATCACCTTACCGGGTCAAGCAGGTTCTAGGACTGCACACTAGTACCGCTTCAGCTAGTACTATTTCAGTGTACAGCGGCCAACTTCTAATTGTCAGCATCTGTATGTCTTTACCGGGGCGCTTTCTCTGGCTCCTGGAGCCCACCATGCCTGCACTCACGAAGGCTGACAGTGCCGGGGAACAAACGCCCACCCTCCTCAGGAGGAGCCCTCAACCAATGACTCACAGGAGTTGATGATTAAATACCCCACTCCTCCCCTTGGGTGGGAATAACTCTGATCAATATCCTCTACGTTGTTCCTCAGAGTTCTCCAGCAAAATTAAGCTCTGGTTGCCCACAGTGGTAACTTCCTCGATCATGCATTCTTTGATGGGCTGCCTCCACTTCTCTATCTCATCTCCCCATTCCCTTGTTTCCTGGGAATCACTATTTGTACTTGCATCATTATCTCAGGGTCTGCTTCTGGGGGAACACAACAGACACTGGATTATTGTGAAAATTAAACTTGTAAAGCCCTTGGCATATATTAAGGGATTCATAAATCCATTGTTGAATGAATGAATGAATGAATGAATGAATGAATGAATGAAAGAGTGAGTGAATGAATGAGGCTTCATCTGCCCTGAGGAGACAGACCCAGAACAGGGGAAGGGAGGAAGGGAGAGACCTGGGACGTAACAGATAACAGGTGGAGACAGGCGCTCAGAGAAGCTGTCCCTGCAGCAGCACCACCCCCCCCCCCCTTCAACAACTGTTGTCATGACTCCATCCCTCCCCCTTCTGCGTTCTCCTCCAGCCCCTCCAGGTGGCTGCAGGTTCAAGGTGTGGCCAGACCACGTTGAGAAACAAGGATCCCCCTCCCTAAGCGCCCATGTTAACTTATTGCCAGAACAACACCCATGAGAGCGGGGCTGGGGAGAAAAAAACTTGAACAAAGTAAAAGTGACATTTAACTTGTGCCTTTAATGTTCCAACAGAATTTAAATATTATAAAATCACAAGCTTGTGCAAAGCTACACTGAAAGCTGTGAAGGGCAGTTTTTCTCTTTCCAGTTCTCGGGGGCTGTTCTTGGCCACAGTGTCAGCCCTGCACTGCCTGAGGCCCAACCCCCTTCAACTTTCCAGGGGGCTCAGAGAGTGCAAGGGGCTGGCCAAGGCCACAGAGCTCGCCGGCTGCCCCCCATTCGCTGTAGGGCTACTTGAAAGCATCCCTCCCAGGGCTCTGGGGGGAGGAGCCGGCCAGCCAGAGCGCTTCCAGGACCTGAGGGGCGCTGCAGAGAAGACGCCTGGAGGAGGAGCTAGACCTCCCCTCAGCAGCTGTGCTCCCTCGGTGGCTACACCGCCCGGGGGGCGGGCTGTGGCATCCAGGGCTGCTCCGTACCGTCCAGGCTTAGGTGGGGCTCTGTTTAATGACCCACTCGCCATAGGGGTTGGCGCGGTACAGATCTAAGAGGTAGGCGTCTGGGTCCAGGCGATGCTCACCTGTGGGAAGCAGGGACAAGGAGGTTGAGGGTGGTGTCTCTGGAAGATGCTGCTGGCCCACCCGAAGCTCCTCACCCGGCCAGGAAGCTCACACACCGCACCTGTGTGAACCTTGGCTGCTGTGGCTCACAGCTACCCCTGGCTCAGAATTGCCCTCCGCTGACGTCAGATGCCTGGGGGTGGGGCGGGATTATGGCCAATGACTGATTGACACAGAGGTAGGACGACCACCCTCCCTACCTCTACGCTGATGCAGTTGGCGCTCCAGAGCCTCCTTGTGGCCAAGGCTAGACTTCACCCCTTCTCCTCCTTCCCGCCGTTGCAAGGCTCTTCCTAAGGAGCACCCCCTCAATGCTTGACTACTCCCAAAGCCTCGTGGCTCTCAACGCAGCATCAATAGCTCCTGGGAACTTGTTAAAATGCAGATTCTCAGGGCCCTGCCACCTGAGTCTTATCAGCCTTGCGGTGATTCTGACACACCCTTAAAGTTTGAGAGTTGCTGCTATAAAGAATGCAGCTGAGGACAGCTGTCCTTCTTGGTTCCCACAGAGCCAGGCGCCCCTCAAAGCTGGATATGTGTTTGCAGAATTCCTTAAGGCAGCGGTTCTCAACCTGTGGGTCGCGAACCCTTTGGGGGTCGAACGACCCTTTCACAGGGGTCGCCTAAGACCATCGGAAAACACATATATAATTACATATTGTTTTTGTGATTAATCACCATGCTTTAATTATGTTCAATTTGTAACAATGAAAATACATCCTGCATATCAGATATTTACATTACGATTCATAACGATAGCAAAATTACAGTTATGAAGTAGCAACGAAAATAATTTTATGGTTGGGGGTCACCACAACCTGAGGAACTGTATTAAAGGGCCGCAGCATTAGGAAGGTTGAGAACCACTGCCTTAAGGCATCCATGGCCACAGGCCCAGAGCAGTGGTGCTGAAAAGCACGGCACTGGGCAAAAAATCCTGCCCTCTCCAAGCCAGAGGTCACTCCAGGCCATACTCCAAACTCCAAGATGGAATCCTAAGGCGTGGCCACAAGCTGACCTTTAACCTCACAGCAGGGTTCTACCTGGTTTTCTGGGAGACAGAGGCCTGAGGGAAAGGCTCAACCCAAGGTGGACTCTGGCCTCTCCGAGAGGGGCCCAGTGAGCCCTGATGGTCGGAGAGCTGCAGGGGCCTGGGCTCAGACCCACTCCCCACTGGGAACTTACTAAGATTCCCTCCAACTTCGCAGAGGACGATGTCGGCTGACTTCCTCAACCTGCTGCTGCAAGACAGAGAGGAGAGACTCACCGACCTCTTCTGCTGGAGGCTGCAGGACCAGCAACTGCTTCCAGACCCCAGGCCTGGAAGGGCCGTCCTCACTAATATTTGGTCCCAGCCGGGAGATGAGGCATAAGGGCCTTCCTGAGAAAGCTGGAGCCACGAAGGAGCTCAGCTCCAGAGACATGGAAGGGGCAGGTGGACGGCACTCGGGGAGGGCTGGTCATGGGTCCCCCACCACAAGGCCCCCACCTGCTGGGTATCAGAATGGAAGCTATGAGAGTGGCGGGATGAGGAGTGACATGTGGGGACAGGAGCCTGCTATGAGGGGCAAATTCTGAGTTAAAATGAATTGTGAATATTGTGTGATTATGTATGATAATTATAGTTATCATATAAGTATCATGTAATTACCATATGAATTCAATTCCACAATCTGTTCCCAATTTGCCTGTGGCTCTGGGCAAGCCTCTTCCCCTCTCTGGGCCTTAGTTTTCCCATCTGTACAAGGAGGAACTGGACTAGACACTTGCTAATGACTGACACTGCTCGGTCCATCATGGAGGCACCTGAGCTCAAGCTGTTCCTTGCATCCTGGAATGACAGTTGCATATCAGCCCCTCTGATCCTCTTTCAGCTCTTTGGCCACGCTGCCTCAGGACCTTTGCACATGCAATTTTCTGTGTCTAGAAGTCTTACCTCATTCCCCAGACTATACCAAGTGCCTTGTCTTACATCCACATTGTTCCCTGTATTTCCTATAAAACTGAATACAGTTTATGACCTGCCCTGTGAACTGCCTGATTTTGACTTTGTGGCTATTTGACACATGTCTAGCTCTTCCACAGGACTATGAACTTGTAAGTCCAGGGCCCCTGACTGCGCTTTTCACTGTGATTCTAGCATTCCACAGGGTCTATAGCAGGCATTCATGAAATACCTGTTAAACGGAATAAATGAATGCTATTATCACTTTATTTGAAGCCAAGAGGCTCTCTGAGAAGGTTGGAGAACCCAGTTCTGACCACTCCGGAAAGGGAAAGGTCAAGAGCCTGTGTAACTCCCCTGCTGGCCTTCGGCTCTGAGCGGGGACCCCTCCTCGGAATTGCTCCCTGCTCCCTGTTGGAGAGAGGCTCCTGTCTTGGGGAGGTGCCCCTTACCGTGGGAGGAGGTTGTCCTTGTCCTCATTGCCCTCTTGACCCTGTAAACCAGGGCTGAGGCGCCCTGTGAACTGCCTGAGGACATGAGCCACTTTGGTGCTGGGGGTCAGGGGCACCTCCAGGGTATCTTTGATAAGCCAGGCCACCTGGATCTTTGCCACTGTGGGAGTCTGCAGAGAGAGAAAGCTCCATAGGCATGGGCACACACATGCATACCTGGAATTCAAATGTGTGCACATAAATATGCACACACGTGCACTTATACAAATACCCACACTAAAAATAAAAGATGCTCACGTACACATATACACCAGCCGCTTACTCACCGATCATACCTTGTCCACATACATGACGCCCCTACAGTGTGCATACACAAACACAGGCACAAAAACATGCGTGTAGATGCGTTCATACTGATACACACAACAGGAGGGCATGAAATGCACCTACGAACACACGCACATTGGTTTATATAAATACTCATCCCCCATGCACATCATGCACAACGCGACACAGGTCAATTTCTCTGTTTGGAACTCTAATAAGGAACCTGTTCAGGATTCTTCCCAGGAGCACTCAATATTCTTGGAAAGCCCTTTCCTTCTATTACCCCTTCTTGGTCCAAATCACCCCACACCCCGCAAAGCGACTCCCACTTTCCCAACCCTCCGCCAGGCAGACAAAGGGCTGCCTAAAATGGGGCAGGAAGACAGCTTCTATTAGTCCCTGCACCACGCCATTTCCCTCTCCTCAGCGTTGTCACCTCCCCGGTTTCTAAGACACCTGCTTCTCGCTCGCTCCCTGCGGTGGGGCCGGCGCGACCCCTGGTGGCTGCAACCGGAAGCGCAATGGCAGCGAATACCCGGAGGATGCGGGAGCGCTAGGTGCCCTCCCGCCGCCTCTTTCTCCCGCGTCTGGGGCTGGGGTGTGAGCGGGCACTCACCGCCTCGGGGCCATCCCCCGCCTTGTCCCTGTCTGCGTGTGTCCTTCGCAGCCAGGTTTTGAGGCCCGCGTCGCAGAGCTGGGGGCGCCTGCTACTGCTGTCGTTCAGGTTTCGCACCTGGGCGACCAAGAAAGAGGAGACCTGGCCGGAGAGAATCGCGTCTTAGCGGGAGCACGGGGCTGCTGGCAGAGGCAGAGCCCGCCAGTCCCTGTGGCATCTTCCTTGTCCCGGCACCGCACACGGAGTTGCCAATACATATTTGTTGAACGTGGAACTGAAGCACTAGTTTGGCGGGAAGAGAGGGGCCATTTGGCCCCTAAAGAGGGCCATGGAGTAGGTACTCGGAGAGCCCACCTTGGCTTTGGCTGGAGGCTCCCACACCTGTTGTGGCATGGCTGCTCATGGGCACACTCAGGCAGGGATGTCCCCAAACACACCTGGAGTGGGCTAATGCTCGGAGAACCCCCAGCCAGCCCTGCGTTGGCAAATTCCCACAGGGACCCTACTCCTCTGGAATCAGAAGCTGGCAGAGGGCATCAGGAGAATCCTGTCTCCATGACCCTGAGAATGAGAAGCATGTTCTCTGGGGTCTGACAGGCCTGGTTCCGTTCTGGGCCCCTCTGCTTACTGGCTCTATGATGCCTGAACAGGATGATACACATGGAGGAAGAAGGAGGGGGAATTCTCCCATTTTGTGTACCTACATCTACGTTGCCTAAAACTTTTACAGCAAGAAGGCATGTAGGCGTTTCTTGACTTTTTAAAACTCCCTTCAATAAAAAGTGTTATAATCAAACTACAGGCCCAGTGCATGAAATTTGTGCACAGGTAGGGTCCCTAACCTGGCCAGCAATCAGGGCTGATCAGATTCTCCGCCTCCCTGCCTCCTCCTTCCCTCACTCCCTCAGTGCCCCACTGCTGCCTCTGGTCACCCGCCATGTTCCATGCCACCCCCTGGTGGTCAGCACACGTCATAGCGAGGGATTGAACTCCCGGTCTCCTGGTCAAACTCCCGAGGAGATACTTTGCATATTAGCCTTTTATATATATAGACGTGTTTTAGTAGCCATATGACCTCAGAGCTGAAGGGGCACAGAGAAGGCAGGAACTATGGGCTGTAGGTACAGGCCTGTATGGGGGAGAGGCAGGGGTTTTCCATAGGGTTGACTGTTGAACTAGGTCAGTGATGGCAAACCTTTTGAGCTCGGTGTGTCAGCATTTTGAAAAACCCTAACTTAACTCTGGTGCCGTGTCACATAAAGAAATTTTTTGATATTTGCAACCATAGTAAAACAAAGACTTATATTTTTGATATTTATTTTATATATTTAAATGCCATTTAACAAAGAAAAATCAACCAAAAAAATGAGTTCATGTGTCACCTCTGACACACGTGTCATAGGTTCGCCATCACTGGACTAGGTCTTGAAGAATAAGCAGAGGGTCAACACCAAAAAACAAGCAACCCAATTAAAAAATGGGCAAAGGACCTGAGTAAGCACTTCTCCAAAGGACATACAGATGGCCAATAGACATATGAAAAAATGCTCAACATCACTAATCACTAGAGAGATGCAAATTTAAATCATCCTATATAATAAAAGCCTAATATGCTAAGTGTCTGGTCGTTTGGTTGTCCATTCAGCCAATCAAAGCATAACATGCTAAAAATATGCTAAGACCACTCAACTGCTCTCTATGACATGCACTGACCACCAAGGGGCAGATTCTCTGACCAGTAGGTTAGCTTGCTGCTGGGGTCTGGCTGATCGGGACTGAGCAAGATGGGCTGGACATGCTCTGGAGTCCTCCCGCGGTCCCTCCCCGGCTGGCCAACCTCCTGCGTCCCTCCCCAGCCCCAATCGTGCACCAGTGGGGTTCCTCGGCCTGGCCTGTGCCCTCTGGCAATCCAGGACCCCTTGGGGGATGTCAGAGAGCTGGTTTCAGCCCAATCCCGCAGGCCAGGCTGAGGGACCCCACTGGCGCATGAATTCATGCACTGGGCCTCTAGTCTATATATATATAAAAGGCTAATATGCAAAATGTCCCCTTGGGACTTCGACCAGGAGTTCAATTGCTCGCTATGATGTGCACTGACCACCAGGGGGCAGCACAGAATGAAGGATGGCCCCAGCCAGCAGCCAGAAGACCCCAATTGGCCCTGATTGCCAGCCAGGCCTAGGGACCTACCAGTACATAAATTTCATGCACTGGGCCTCTAGTAATGAGATATCATCACATGCCTGTCAGAATGGCTACCATCAATAAATCAGTAAACAAGTGCTGTCAAGGATGTGGAGAAAAGGGAACCCTAGTGCACTGTTGGTAGGAATGCAGTTTGTTGCAATTACTGTGAAAAACAGTATGTAAGTTCCTCAAAAAATTAAAAGTGGAACTGCCATTTGACCCAGTGATTCCACTTATGGGAATTTATCTGAAGAAACCAGAAAACACTAATTCGAAAGAATATAAACACCCCTATGTTCACTGCAAGATCTGGTAGCAGCCCAAGTGTCTATTAGTAGAGGAGTGAATAAAAAAGCTGTGGTACATTTACACAATGGAATACTACTCGGCCATAAAAAGAAGGGAATCTTACCCTTTGCAACAGCATGGATGGACCTGGAGAGTATTGTGCTAAGTGAAATAAGCCAGTCAGAGAAAAACAAATGCCATAGGATTTCACTCATATGTAGAATCTAATGAACGAAATGAACTAACAAGCAAAATAGAGGCAGATTCATAGAGAGCAGGCTGACAGCTGTTGCCGGGGTGTATAGAGCACTGGGGGTGTTACAGGGGTTGAACAGAAGAGAAAAAACTCATGGACATGGACAACAGTGTGTTAATTGCTATGGGGGGGGGGGTAGGGGGAATTGGAGAAGTGTATGGGGGGGGATAAATGATGATGAAAGGAGACTGGATTTGGGGTGGTGAACATACAATACAGTGTACAGATTGTGTTGTGGAATTGTACACCTGAACATTGTTAACAAGTACCACCCCAATAAATTCAATGAAAAGAAAAAACAAACAAAGAAAAGAAAAATAATAAGCAGAGGTTACCAGTTTCCATCCTTTCTAAAAAAGTAAGGGAATTTCAGGCAGAGTGAACTGCATGAGTAAAAACTCAGAGGTGTGAAGTGCAGGATGAGTGAGGAGAACCAGCTGGCATTTGGTATGTTTAGAACACAAAGGGCACCTGGGTGTGATGAGGGAGAAACTGAGAAGATCAGAGAGCTTCACTTTCTGGTTTCTGGAATTGAAAATTATCTTAATAACTTTATGGGTGGAGGGAAGAATAGGAAGAAGGAAGGAAGGAAGGAAGGAAGGAAGGAAGGAAGGAAGGAAGGAAGGAAGGAAGGAAGGAAGGAAGGAAGGGAGGGAGGGAAGAAAGGTAAGTGAATCATGGATAGATCGATTGGTGGGTAGGTGGATGGATGAATGCATGGATTGGTTGGTGGGTACGTGAGTGGGTGGATGGATAAATGGATAGATAAATGGATGGATGGATGGATGGCTAAATGGTACATGGATGCATGCATGGGTTGGTGGGTGGGTGAGTGAGTTGGTGGATGGCTGGCTGGCTGGATTGGTGAGTGAGTGAATGGGTGGATGGCTGGGTGGGTGACTAAATGGAAGGATGAATGGAGAGATGGAAGGAAGAGGCTACACATTTCTAAGGGAAGTGCCCTGAGCAGCAGTGCTGGGCAGTGCTATCTTGCATCCATGGGAGTCTCAAATGCTGCAGGGGACTTGTTGTTTCTGTTCCATCCCCCAGCTGTCAGCAGGTCTTGCATGTCCACACCACAGAGGGAACTCTTTCCTTACCCCTGCCCCTTGTCCTTGCTTTGGATTGTTACACAGGGCAAGGCTCATAGGGAAAGGGGGTGTCTTGGTTAACTGGCTCAGGCCTCTGTCTTAGGCAGGCCCTGTGTCCATAAGCCTGTGGCAGAACAGGGGTGAGGGTGGCTTTTTCAACATCATTAAAACTTTGAAGTGAAGGAATCATTTGTGGGAGCTCAGGGAACACCCTTAACCTGGGGTAGACCAGATGGCCATAGATTGGCTGGGAGGTGTGGGAGTGTGGACACCTTTTGGACAGTAAGGCAGGGGAAAAAGAAGACATAGATCATACATAGGAGCCAACAAAGGTCCCAGAAGACACACAACTAGGATCTGAAAGGACACACAATCATGGATGGCAGGGACAACAGGGCAGCTGTACCCGGAGGAGAAAAAGGGCCTGTGCCTACTACCCAGATGGACAGTGTGTCCCCTCCCCTCACAGTTGGCCCACAACACTCACCATCCAGAGCAGATCCTGGTAGTGCACCATCATCTGTACCACCTCGGCGGCCCCCTCTGCCAGCTGCTTCTCTCTGCCCTTGAGGAGTTTGGGGGGCTGCCCTCGGTGAAGGAAGAGATTAGGGGCCATTACCGTGGAAACATTCCACAGTGTCATCTTGTTGCTCTGCTCCTGGGCCACCACCTTCCTGAGGAATTCCAGGAGTGCCTGGGGAAGGGCACAGAACTTTCTTCAAATCTTAGCACACCCCTCCTGTGCCCTACCTTCCCCAGAACAGCCTGCTGTGCTACTTGGGGGCCTTGCAAGGAGCCAGGGGCTGGAATAGGGGTTTTAGTTTCAGCTTTGCCATCAGCACACTCTGTGATCTCTCTGTCTGTTTCTGGCAAAACATGGCCAAAACTTTCCCCCTTCCCTGCTCCCTCAGAGGTTAATGAGACATCCGGGTGAAACTTCAACTTCCAGGCAGAAAAGAGCCACCACTCTGGGGAGTGGGTATTTTCCTGGCAAGCCCAACACAGTTCCTTCACCTGGATCTGGGGTGTCTGAATCTGCCCAAAAGGCAAGGGAAAGAACAGGGAAGCAGAGACAATGGGAAGGAAGGGAGATGGTGGTAATAGCTGCCATTTATTAAGTGTTCTTTGTGTTCCTGGTCCCTTAGCTAGCACCTTACATGCATTTATCACCTCATTTAATTCCCACAACTCTTTAAAGTAGGTTCTACCATTTGTGCCCATTATACAGAGAAGGAAAACTGTGGCTTGGAGAATGTGCCCCAGACCACATAGACATTAAGGATGAACAGAAGGAGGGAGGATAAAAGGATGGAAAGATGGATGGATGGATGGATGGATGGATGGATGGATGGATGGTTGGTGGATGAGGGTGGATGGAAGGAAGGAAGGGAGGGGGGAAGGAGGGAGGAGGGAAGATAGGAGGAGGGAGGAAATGTATTAAACACTTGCTAAGTACCATATCATCTACTCTGTGATTCCTTCTGTATTAGCTCTTGTGTTCCACAAACAATCACACAGATGGTATTATTAGCCTACATTTACTGAAAAGGAAACAAACTCAAAGAGGCTGTCTCTTCAACAAAGCTGAAGGGCAAGGCGTGATGGTCACTTGAGCCCAGGTCTATCTGGTTATAAATATTCCTTTAGGACCTCCTGTGTCCACATCAGACAAGGGTTCCAGTAGACCCGGGGTCTCCTCACAGCCACACCCTAGCGGTATGTCTTGGATTTGACCCAAGGACAGCCAGGAGGGTGCTGGGACCTAAGCCTGGGCTGCACCCCAGCCCCAGCCCCCAGTCCTGAATACCCGCTCCCATAATACACAGTAGGAGTTCCCCAAGTGAGTATTTCCCAAAATAGTGCTCCATGGAACACCATGCAATGCAATGCTCTCCATAACAAAAGAGGTCCCTGGACACCTGACTCAGGAACTGCTACACACTTTAGTCCCACCCAGAGATTCGCAAAGCCTTGGCATATCAAGGCTCTGAGAAGTCCTGTAGGAAGGGATGATCCTAACCTTACTTCACTGACTCAGTGTCCACCCATCTTATCTGGGCAGAGAGCCTTCTCCCTGAGACCAACAATGATGTTGGGCAGTGCACACTCCAGTGAGCACCATGTCCTCTCAGGGCTCATCTCCTTTCTTTAGGGAAAAGGTCTCAGGAAAGATGAGGCCATCACTGTTGGTCATCACTGCACCCCAGCTCCTGGCAGAGTTGTTGAATGAATGAATGAATGAATGAATGAATGAATGGGCACACTTGGAGCCATTACTGTGGCTGTGGGCTGAAATGACAGCGTGGAGGCAGCTGGAGGTAGCTTTCACCTTCAGGGCGTTCCTGTTGGGTTCCGGGAGAATCAGGATGAGCAGGTGGAGGGCCTGCAGGCGCTGCCTCAGGTCAGGGATGTCTGAGGGAAGAGGGCAGACTTGGCCTCAGTCTCTCAGTGAGGCCAGAGACTCTCCCTCAGTCTGAAGCCCCCTTCTTGGGGGAGGGGAGATTCCAAAAAACCCTTTTTTAAAAAAAAAATGTTTTTTTTAAACATTGATTTGAGAAAGAAAGAAAGGGAGAGGGAGAGAGAGAGAGATAGGAACAATAATGAGAGAAAAACATCAATTGGCTACCTCCCACAACTCCCTACTGGGGATCAAGCCCACAACCTGGGCATGTACCCTGACTGGGAATTGAACCAGTGACCTCTTGGTTTATGAATCAACACTCAACCAACTGAGCCACAGTGGCCAGGGCAGGAAACCCTTCTTTATAAGGCCTAGAACTGTTTCCTGGGCTAATGTTAGCTCAGACAGAGCCCCAACCAGTGCTGGTCTTGAGGCTCGCTATACCGTGTGAATAAAAAATAACACACACATGTTCATGCACACACACACATACACATGCACATACACACGCCCAGACATGCAGGCTGAGAGGTATATCCCAGGGTCAGAAATGCAATTGGTTCGCTTCGTCACACTGCACACGCACACTCATGCACATTCACAGACAACACACACATACATGCACACACACACAATACACATGCACACACACACATGCCCTTCCTCTCCCATCAGGCAGGGATCAGGTAGTGCCATCTTCCCACCACCTTCCCTCCCAGGCCATCAAAAGCTCTTCCCCAAATGCAAAGGGCTGGGACACTCACTGGGCACCACGGCGAAGGCCGGCAGGTACTCAGTAGTGAGCAGAGGTGCCGGCAGCTCCCGGATAAACCTTTTGAGCAAATCGGACGCATCATTGTGGTGAACCTTGTCCCAGCTAAACAGGCCAGTGTAGAAATCTCTCTCCAGCTTTTGTTCCAGCCCCTGAAGAAAAGAGGGGCACTAATGAGAAGTTGGCTCAAGGCTCCAGGAAAAGTTGCTCCATCACTTCTCTGGGCCTCAGTTTCCTCATCTGCAAAATGGGGACAATAACAGCACTCTTCTCATAGGAGTTTTGTGAGGATTAAATGGCCTAATGTGTGTAAGTCACTCAACAGATGCCGACAGTCTCAAGCCTATGCTATATTGTGCCACCTCTAGCCGTTCAAACCCGCGTGAATCCCAGACGAAAACAGAGACCAACAGGCCGTGACCTGGGTTCTCTTCAGGATTAGCGCACACGTGAGGATGCTGGGAGATGCAACTTCAGCGAGGTGGGGGCAGCCAAGCCATTACCTTGACTCTGGCCTGCGATCCAGGCACTCTGAGAATGCCTTCCATGTCCAGCCCCCTCTTTTCCAAACAGGACAGCAGCTGTGAGAAAAAGAAACCACCATTTAAACCAGCAACCACTGAAAAGTGGGATTCAAACTGGTGTGTTTGTCTCCCCCAAAAAAACAAGGCAGAGAGAGGCCAAGAATGGCTTTCTTGGCCACTTCCATGAGCCAAGCATTGTTCTGTGAGCTTTTTTTCCTAAATATGCATTCTTCTCATTCAATCTCTAATAAGAGAATACTGTTATTCTAACCCCACTTCACAAACACTGAAAGGCAGGCTCAGAGAGGCTCAAAAATCCACCCAAGTCTCAGCTAGCATGTGTCAGAGCCAGAATCGGAACCCCGGTCTCCTGATTCTGAAGTCTACATCGTATCTCCCAGGCCAGCCACCAGGGTGCCGAGGGCCAGCCTCTGGCTGGCTAACTGAGCCCAATCTGGGGACAACTTACAGCTTGAAGTACCAGCGGCACCTGGGTGCTGGGGAGGGCTTTGCGGTCAGCTTCCAGCAGGGCTTCGAGGGACACCCCAAAAAGGCGAGTTTCTGCGGGAAGTCCAAAGAGTAGAAGCGGTGTTTCACTTCCTGGAATGACAGCTGGGCTCCAGCCTGCAACATCTCCTGGGCGAGTAGAATCAGACTCCGTTCCCTGTGTGAGGCCTTAGCTCTGGAGGGTGGCTGGGCTCATCCTGCTCTCAAGCAGAACACAAGGCCTCAGCAATAATGAGAACATTAGATGCATCACAGAGCAGAACGTCTCAACTGGATAAAGAGGCGTCGAAAGAAAAGGTGCTGCTGCCCCGGGGAGCACTGGGTGCCAAGTGTAACAATGGTCTGGGGTAGAGGATTTTGCTCAGCAGGGATGGACCAAGTTCCAATGAAATGTACTTCCCAGGTCTTCTCAACCATCCTGCCTTGCAGGCTTCTCAGATAAACTCATCTTTCCAAGTCTACTCGGCAATGTTCTTCCTTCTCATTCACTTGCCTACCCCTTTCTCTACTAAACCCCTTCTCCTGGTCTACCCATCCATCATCCTCTTGTCTTTATCAAGAAACAAACAAAAAATTACAATGCGTCATGTTGACAATGATGCAGTGAGATGAACAGTCTCATATACTACTGAAGGGTAATATATACCCAGAACTTCACCAGTATATTCTAAAACAATCTAAGATGCATTCAAAGTTGAATGTGCAGCAATGAGCCCAATCTGGGGACACCCACCAACATCTGAGCAAGAGTAAACAATTGTTGATTTAAGTCATGAGTTTTGAGGTTGCCTGTTATATAGCACTATTGTGGCAATAGCTGAATGAGACGAAAACTCAGAAATGTCCATAATTCTATACTATAAAGTGAAAAAAGGGTGTATATACATGGGGTGAGGGTGGAAGATGATACTCTAAAAGCAAATAGTGCTTACATCTGAATTATATTTTTCCTTTTTGGATTTTACTCAAATTTCCTACAGTGAGCAGGAACTGTTTTCAGATGCAGAACAAGTTCATAGAACTGAAGGAAATAAAGCAGCTAAGCATATTCTGGTACAAGATTCCCCATGCAACTCGCTCAATGAGAAAGCCAGGACGTTAGTCACAGGGCTTTGAAGTGCTGGACTGCTGACCTGTTGCCTTCTGCTTCCCCGCCTTGCTCCTCTTCAGGTCCAAGCCCAGGACGTCGCAGAGCGCAGTCAGCTCGATGAGGGCCAGAGCGGCGATCTTCTTCAGGTCCTGCGAGGACAGGTCTCCAATCCTCGTCAAGCCAAGTCTGCCCTTGGGGATCCTAAACTTCTAGGGAGGGAAGCAGAGACAAGCAAGCCAGATGTCCTGTAAGTGTGTTGAGGCCTTGCCCCCATCCCATCCCACCCCCGGGCGGTTAGGGGAAGAAAGAGCAGAGTGGATGAGCACAGGGGCTCAGGGCTTCATCCCATGTTCAAGTCCCACCTCCACCTGACCTCCACCTCACATTCTGAACCTCTAATTCCCCATTTGTAATCATACAACAGTGCTTACCTCATAGTTTTTGAGGGTAAATGGGCTAAGGGGTATAAAGGGTGCCAAGCACATAACAGTAGTGGGAAGCTCCCTTTACTGCCTGTATTCCAACCTGAGGCCTGGAGGAGAGGGATCACCCCCACGGGCCTCTTATTTTGCTTCTATTCTGATCCTTTGTTGCTCCTCCTCGCCCCACCTATCCCTATCCTTGCTCTGCCATACCCCAACCCAATGCTCCTATTCCTCAATATTGATGGAAAAATAAATGATGCTCGACCGCGCCATCTAGAGGCAAGAGTGGGGATCTACAGGGATATTCCCGCCCCCCCCCTCCCCCCCCCCCCCGCCCCTCCCACGCCTTCCCCGATTCATGCCCACTGCCATAGGTGAAAAGTCGAAAAACAGCAAGAGGGAGGGGCAAATGTGCTTCGTATTTGCCTGGAGGACTTGACCAGATTATGCCCCAGTGCCCATTCGAGTGCTAAGGGAAAGGAAGCGTGCTGTGGTTGTAGGTTGTAATGTTATGGTGCATAGAGCCAAACTTCCTGGGTTCAAATCCTGACTTTACCTGTGAGTTTGGGTAAATAATTTTACCTTTCTGTGTGTCAATTTTCTTACCTGTAAAGTGGGGCTAACAACAGTATCCACTTCACAGGGTTTTGGGGGGAGATTAAATTTGATAAAGTGATAAAACACAGTGCCTGGCAAAGTAAGTCCTCAATTATTATAACTATCACTATTTTTAAGTATTTACACAATTGCCGTTAACATAACAGATGAAATTAAATCATGTATGTATAGTACTTGGTATATGCCCGGTCTATGGTAAAAGGTCTATATGTGGTATCTTCAGCATTATTCATTATTATCACCCATAGTTTAACGGGAAAATCAAATCATCAAGGATAGAAGATATGATCATGTTGAACATTAATTATCTATGATGCTTTAGAAATAGAAAGTCAGTCTTTAAAAACTTGGACACACCATGGTTACATAAGAGACTATCCCTGGGAGAAACCAGGTGAGTAGCACATGGGAGCTCTCCTATTTTTGCAACTTCTTGTGATTCTAAAATTATTTCAAAGTAAATAGAGAAATCCTATTTGCGTGAATGAAAGCACCTTCACACTGCAGAAGAGGCTACTGCACTTTCCCTAAGGAGTAGAGAGGAACGGTCAGCGGGGCCTGCCCCAGCCCCCTGGGCGGCTTCCTCACCGGCAGGGACCCCTTGCTCCAGGCACAGGTGCCCCCCGGGGGCTGCCTGCCCCTCTGCAGCAGCAGTGCGGCCTGTTCCGAGTAGGCGGAGTCCATGTGGAAGGCGTGCTCCATCCCAGCCGGTGCCGGCGGCCCCTCAGGCTCTGCTGCTGCGGGGAAACAGGACAGAGAGGCCGTCAGCACCTGCCGCCTCCCTGCCTCCTGCCCAGAGCCCAGGGAGCAATTTCTCAGGCTTCGGCCCTTCTCAGTAGGGACTGCCTAAGACCAGGGGGCTGAGATCGTGACCCCAGAAGCAAGTTCTTAAGCTGAAGACTCAAGCCCTTTGCCCCAAGAAGTGATTTCCCAGGATCAAAACCCCAGGACCAAATCAATACCGTTAGGGATCAGATCCATTGCCCCAGGAAGTAGTTCCCTGCTAAGGCCTATTGCCCCAGGAAGTAGTTTCCTGGCTAAGGCCCATTGCCCCAGGAAGTAGTTTCTAGCTAAGGCCCATTGCCCCAGGAAGTAGTTTCCTGGCTAAGGCCCATTGCCCCAGGAAGTAGTTTCTAGCTAAGGCCCATTGCCCCAGGAAGTAGTTTCCTGGCTAAGGCCCATTGCCCCAGGAAGTAATTTTCCAGGCTAAGGTCCATGGGTCTGATGGGAAAACCCACTCAAGAGCCAACCTTGTCCCTTGGGCTTTCTTTCTGCTGCCCTGGAGCAGGGAAGGCAAGGAACCAGCAGGAGGAGAAAAACGCTCGGAGGTGTGCACCTTCCTTACCTCACAGAGCAGCCCTGTGCAGCCTGGAGGACTCCCAGGGCCCAGGAAAATGAAGGCCACTTACCTGGAGGAGACTTAGGGCTCCCGGAACTGAGCGGGGTCCATTTCATACCTGAATCCCCATTTTCTGAAGGCATTTCCTAAACAAATTACAGACAATTTCCAATTAATTCTATTTCCCAACCCTGGGAAATAGAAGCCATTCGTGACCCCGTCTTCATGGATGGAGCAGCTGAAGCGCAGAGATCTTGCCCCAGACCCCAGGTTCTGTGTGTGTGGGAGGGGGGGGCGGGGGGGGGGGGGGGGGAGCACTGGCCCAGGCCTCTCTGCCTTCAATGCCTATTGCATTAAGCACGTGTCATGCCACTTCAGCAAGTACAAAAGAAAGAATAAAATGCCTGTAACCTCTCAGGTTACAAGTGTCGGCAGGATATACAACTGATACAAACATATTAGAATTGTCCCGACAATAGTTATATAGAGAGAGAACCTAAGCCCAGGCAAGCACACGTGGTGGCAACAGGAAATGCACACACAGCAGACAGCCCTGCCTGCAACCTGGGGACACAGTGGCCTGCAGGCACCGCCAGCATAGCCTTGCAGCAGGACCAGCTTCACTGAGGGTGTGAATGGGCCCAGCAGACAGGGCCTGCAGTCACCCTGTGCTGCTGACTTACCCCTGCCTTGAAGCCCCCAAAGATGTCCCTGACATCTCTAACAGGTGCCTTGGGGCGTCTTCGTGCCGAGCGGGCGTAGATGTCCAGCCGGCGGCGCACAGCGGCCACCTGGGTCTGTGTGAGGGTGGACAGGAGCCCCCGGTGATGACTGTCCAAGCCCAGGCCACCAAGGAGGTCCGACAGGCCTGTGTCCTGTAGCCACTGGGATTCAGTTTCTCCTTCTGCCAATAGAGGGAGACCATCCAGATAAACACACACAACTACACTCTCCGCCACACGCACTAACCGAGTCACATGCAGAAACACACACTCAACCTGAGTGCAAGAAACACCCACACATCTGACCACGAGACCCACTAACACCAACCACACTCTTCAATGTGGAGAAGACTTAACAAACTATCAGAGAATTTGGGGGGCATGGCTGGCATTAACCAGTATCTGGATTTAAACCTATACAATCATATTCTCTTGGACACAGCAGGCTGAGGAGGGGCGCCTGCATGTTCTGACTCTGAAATGTAGCCAATGACTCACCCCCCCCCCCCAAATCTGACAGAGATCACCACAGGGTCACATGGGCCCAGCATGGAGAGCACGGGCAAGCAGCTGCTGTCCCCTTGGAAAGTCTCACTCTATTCAAGACCTTATCTGTGTTGGAATAATCCCCCCAACTGTGCTTTGTAAGGAAACGGTCATGGTCTTACAGAAAAACCATTCTCCCAAACTGTGGGGTGGTGTTGAGACTGCAGGTCCCTGGGTCCCACCTCCAGAGATTCTGCCCTAGAAATTCAGGCTCAGGACCTGGGAACCTGAACTTGAACTCCTGCCTTCCCGCCTTCCTGCCCAGATGATTCTAATACAATGGAGTCTTCAGATCACACTTGGGAAACACCGGTGATTTCCGTCTTATTATGGGGAAAGCGGACGAGAACTTGGGGAGGAAGCTGTACCCATGTGCGAGCTGCTTGCTGGGGTGCCCAGTTTGACCAATTAGTCAACCAAGTGCTGGTGGTTCAAAATATCAGAACTGCTTTCACGGCAGGCAGCCTGAGCTGTGCCATGTACAGACGTTTCCCCACCGCATCCCCCATGCACTTGGGAACCAAACAAACGCTGCCAGGGCGGCCACAACGTTGTGGGTCCTCCCCTGACCTGTGCCAGCTGGTGAAGGCACCGATCCCACTGTGATGCCAGGACCCACTTCTCTCCTCTTCCAAACACCAGTGTTTCCTGAAGGTTCCCAGGAGATCTGAGTCTCCCCCATGACCACACATGCTGTACACCATGGGCTAACACAGCTGACTCATAGGCCAAATCCAGGTTTCTGTGCCCATGCCCTTTCATTCCCTCACTCATCGAACACGTGAGGAGTACAAGAATGGGCTTGGCTCTGTTCTAGGCCTGAGGGTACAGCAGTGATGGGCAATGGCCCAGACCTCTTGGAACTTACATTCTACTGGGGGACACAGACAAAGCACAAAAAAACGCACTGTGTCATATCAGGCACGGGATGTGCTCTAACGATAAATAAGGTGGGTCAAGGGCCTAGTGGCGGTGGGGGGCGGGGTGCTGCTTTACTTAAGGAAGTCAATATTCCAAGGAGGTGACATTTGAGCCCAATCCTGATTGGCAAGAACAAACCAGGAAGATCCCTGAGGGAAGGGCGCCCCAGGCAGAGGGAACAGTGAGGACAAAGGCTCAGAGGCTCGAGTGTGCTTTCCTGGTCAAGGAAGCAAGGAGGCCTGAGTGGAGGCAGAAGTGGAGACATAGGAAGGCGGTGGGAGGGCATGAGGCAGAGGGGCCTGGGGCTGATTTTGTAAAGCCTTGTAACCTGTGATGTGTAGGTTTTGCATGTCCCCAAATTCTTTGACACACACCCCATTAAGAGGTACATCTAATTCCCTCCCCTGGGATATGGGCTGGGCGCAGGAAAACAGGGTGTAGCAGAAGTGCCTCTGCCTGCCTTCCAAAGCCGGGTCATGAACGGCGAGCCAGCTTCTGCCTCTTCTTTCTCACTGTCTCTCTCTGTCTCTCTCTCTCTCCTCCCGCTCTTGGGACCCAGTTGCTTAGCTGTAAGGAAGCCCAGGCCCACACAGAAGCAAACAGTAGGCATTACAGTCCTAGATGAGGCCCAGCTGACGTCACAGCCACCACCAGACTCAGAAGTGAGAAATCCTTTGAGACGACTCCAGCCCTGGCCACCCTCTGATTGTAGTTCCACAGGAGCCCCAGAGTGAGGACCGCCTAGCAGAGCCCTGCCGACCCCTAGAACTGTGACGCTGTGAGAATAATGATGATGGTTGCTTTACAAGGCTCAGTTTGCAGCGGCTGACTATGCAGTATGGATAACAGACACGCTGACAGAGGTGAGGATACCTGTGGGATGTTGAGCAAAGGATTTAGGATTCCACTCAAATGTTAGCTCCATGGGGAGACTGTTTTGTGTTCACGGTTGTATCCCTGGTGCCTAAAACAGTGCCTGGCAAGAAAGGGGCAATTGTACACGTGTGCTGAGTGACCTAATCTAAGGAGGGGCGTCATCTCATTTAGGATGACAAGGGAGCGAGGGGGGAGCAGGGAGACCGGGGACGAAGCTACTGCAACAGCCCGAGAGAGATAAAGCCCTTGCACGGACGGTCTGTGCCTGGAGCTTGCACATGTCTCCCCTGCCACAGGGGCCTCCCTCCGCCCAGCAGCCCCTGCCAGCACTCCTCACCCTCTGGGGGCCGGCCTTCGCCCCCGCTGCCATCCTCTTCTCTCAGCTCATCCCTCTGTTGGATCCACTCCACCTCCATCCAAAAGCCATCCAGGGACAAGCTCTCGGCCGAGGACACCCGGGAGTGGGAGCGCTCGGCAGGGCATGCTCGCAGCGGGTTCTTCTGCGGGAGCTGACTCACTGGGCGGGACAAGGGGCCAGAGCTGCAGCAGGCGGGAGGGGGGAGAGAAGTCAGGCAGAGCCCCGCTCACGATGGGGTCTGTCCGGGGCTTGGAGGTTCTCCAGAAACCTGCCTGCGGCTCCTGGGAGCTGGGCGCGCTTCCTGAGCAAACTTCCCAGGGGAGACAGACACACGGCCAGGCTCGCAAACTGACCACGTTACCCATCGTCCCTGAGAATCGCGTGGACACAGATGATGCCCAGAGGGTGGAGAAAGGCCAGGCAGCACCGCTTCGTCCCACCTTCCTGGGCAAGGCAAGCAATCCTGGACCCACACAGGGTAGAGTGAACATTGATGAGAGGGAGTTAAACACCAGTCATGCAGCACCTGACTCATCTCACTGAATTTCTACCCAAAATGGCAGTTATCTCCTCCCCACCCGCACCCCCTTATCTGTGAGTCTGACTCCCACAGCCCTGGTTTCCCTGTCTCTAACATGTGACCACCTCGTCCCCTGCTCTCCAGCCAGATCTGAGCAGACCAAAGTGCCAGTTCACAGAATGCAAAGGAGCAAAAATTAAAAGTAAAAAAAAAAAAAAAAAAAAAGATGGACCAAATATTGAGTGCTAACAAAAAGGACAAACATATCAATATCACTTCCAGATTAAGAATTCATTCTAAGGGAGGGAAAGAGAAAATCCACAAAGAATCTATGCCAGCCTCTAACCTGACCCACCCCAGCCTCGTCACAGAAACTGGAAGTAAAGAAAGAACTGCCAGAAGTGTGAGGTTGGCGGACACGCGTGGGCCTCAGTGTTGGCCATTTCCCCACAGGAACTGATTTTCCAGTTGCAAGTTTGCAAGTTCCCCAGTCTCCCTCAGACCTCCATGTCTTTGCATAATTTGTCCCCTCTGCTAAGGCTGGGCTTCCCCAGTCCCAGCCACACATCCCTTCTACGGCCGATCTGGCCCATGATTGCTGCACTCGAGACGGTCTTAAAATGAGACTAGGGCCCAGCGGGCGTGGCTCAGTGGTTGAGTAATGACTCATGAACCAGGAGGTCATGGTTCCATTTCCAGTCAGGGCACTTGCCTGGGTTGCTGGCTCGATCCCTAGTAGGGGACATGCAGGAGGCAGCCAATGGATGATTCTCTCTCATCATTGATGTTTCTATATCTCTCTCCCTCTCCCTTCCTCTCTGAAATCAATAAAAATATATTTTTAAAAAATGAGACTTGGTGAGAGAGGGAAAGCATCTCTGAAAGCCAGGCAAATGCAGGAGGTCGTCAGCGTTGTTGGGCAAGGGGTGGGAAAGGGATGTCACCCCGAGCCCGAGCCCGGTGGGTGGAGCACAGGGGCGGTGACCACGGTGGCTGCCTTCCCAGCCTCCTTCCCACTCACCCCGCTCTGTGTAGCAGGCATGACCCCACCCCAGCCTCGTCACAGAAACAGGTCCAGGCCGGTTTGGATTACGAGCCATTGTGTGAGTGCCTGCTCCTGGGGATGGCATTTCTTAGGGGTGACGAACATGTTCTAAGATTGATTGTGATGATGGTTGCACAACTCTGTGAGTATCCAAAAAACCGTTGGACTGTACACTTGAAATGGGTCAATTGTATGGTGCATCATTTTCTTATCAATAGAGCTGTTAGTTAAAAACAAAAGCACCGTTGTGCGCATTCCTCCAGCCACAGGAATTATTCGGCAGGCGGAAGCACCCGGGACTTTGGTGGGGATCCTGGGGTACAGACAGCTTGCTCCAGACCTGGCTTACAGTCAGTCTCCTCAAGGAGTGGGCAGTCACACAGGGGGACCCAGGCTTCGGCCAGAGTGGGTGCCACACACAGCAACAGAAAGAAGTGTTAACATTGGGCCCTGGGGGTCCCCCACCCAGGGCCTGTTGCCGAAGGACCCTCCTCCGGTCTGCGGCGGGGTTCTCACCCACCCCCTGTGACCGGCGTGTGCGTGTTTTCATTTGTATCACAAGTGACCCTGCGACAAGCATCCCCGTGTTTACTGCCGTGGCCCTCTGGGCAGAGGTGACCGTGGAAGAGCGAGTGCCAGAAGCGCGATTGCTGAGCCAAAGGGTTTTTGCCAAATCGTCTTCCAAAAAGGATTGTTCCATTGGAGCTATTTGGTTGTTTTTGTCTGTCTGTGGCCCAGGACAGGGAGCTAATTTTGCTCCTGCTGCCTGCCTGGTCTTTGACTTGTGGGGTTCTGTGCCCTGGGGTCCCTGAGGCTGTTTTCCCCACAGCTGGAGACCCCATCCATAGATGTCCCCCCAACTTCTGGAGGTGGGTTAGTACCGAGGCCAGCGGCATGGATGTGGGGCTGAGCAGTCCTGCCGAGGAGGCCTCTGGCGTGGTTAGTGCTCTGCTATCACCATGTCGAAATGCGTGATAATTTTTGAACAAAGGCCCCGTTTCATTTTGCAGGTGGCCTGTCCCGCCAGCACCTCACCCATGCACCCATGTGCCTTTTCTCCAGTGTTCTGCCCACATACTGGGCTCGACTCCAAATTATAAACACCTCCGTCCCCAAACATACGCCGATGTGGTCAAGCAAAGAAATCTCAAGCCTGCCAAGAGCCCAGAGGAGGAGGCCGGGCACACAGCCTGTCCACGGCAACAGCTTGGCCGTCTCCACCAGCAGAAGCTGAACTGGAGACCGATTCCCCATTCATTATGAAGTTGGCTGTTCCGCTCTATTTACGCTTTTGGGGAAACTGCTTGTCAGCCCGCCTCCTGCGAATGTGGTTGCCCCCTGCTGGTGCACAGCTCAGCTCCGGCTTCCTCCGTGGCTTTGTCATTCGCTTGGAAATTACCAGCATCTGCGTGCTTTTGTGACACAGCAATAAAAAGAGTGAGTAAACCAAAACAAAAGTGATCAACTGTGTCACCGCTTTCACAGCCAAGCAGTGCGAGGAGGGCAATCGCCGCCTTGGGTGAACTTTTTGAGGAGATCAGGTGGGGGCGCAGGAAAAACCAGAAAGGAAATAAAACCCCGACAGTTCTAAAGGCGTCATTGTTCCAAGACCACATTTTGCAGTGTGGCAACGAGACCCCCATTTAGTCAGAGAATGGGCCCCAGCACATCCATAAAATCTGTTCTGAGCTTCACAAACAGCCCACTTTTTTTGTTTCAATTTTGATGGGCGATGGTGCCCCTTTGGATGTAACAGCCTATGCCGCGCACAACCTGAGCACCAGTACACAGCAACCCTGCCACCTGTGAAGCAATCCCACGGGGCTGGGGTGGGAGCTGGGCAGAAATGAGATATGAAAGGCAAACTCTGTTTACACTTTTCAGTATCATCTTAACTGAGTTCCTAAAATCTCCATAAGACACCACCAGACGGACTGGCTCATTCAGGGGGCGTGCTCATTCTTGAATTGTCCAGCGGCGCTCACCGCATTTCTTCCACATAATTCCACTAGAGCTGGACTCTGGGTCACAGAACTTTCTAGTGTGACTATTTGTGTTCTGGACCACAACAGTAAAAACACTTTGACATATGCTGTGTATAAGTTAGCTTCCTGACTCAGACCTGGGGCTGGGCCAGGAGACGGAGGAAGGCACGGGGGCGGGTGCTCCCTGCAGCTGGGCCAGGTGGGCGAGAGCCAGAGACGCATGAGCCCTGCTGAGCCGAGGAGCTGCATTCCAGGTGTGGAGACCAGACCCACAGGCCAGTGAGTCTCAACCCTGAGTGTGCACCTGCACCACCCAGCTGCTTTTCAAACTCCCAGGGCCCAGGCAATGCCCCAGACCAAGGGCAGCAAAAGCACCGGAAATGGGAGCTGGGCACCAGCATTGCTTGGAGCTGCCCAGCCGACCGCATTGGGCAGCCAGGCTGGGAGGCACTGTGGGGAGCTTCGGTACATGGCTGGGTTCAGAGACCTGCAGAGGAGTTCTCAGGAGTGGGGAGGGAATGGATGGATTGCATCGAAATTCTCACCTGGCACTTCTGGGAGGGGCAGCCTGCATTTCTGAGATGACTGAAGGAGATTAAGGTTCTGCCCATGACCTCTGAGATGACAAATGTACCCGACCGGAAGATCAGGACCAGCCAATCTCTGTGTGGACTATCAAAGAGGCCACCCCACTGAAGTTTAACACATTTCAAATAGCTTGCCATCATTTGGACACGAGGAAGTCTCACATCTTAAAACCCGCTAATTCCAATGCTCTCCACCACAACGAAATCAAAAGAGATGATAATCCTGGGCCCTTGTCCGTAAGTGACAACTGGTGGAAGCTGAGTGGTGGTGGCCCGTCCAAACGGGCCTCTGGCTGAGTCACTGAGTCAGAGGTACATACGGTGTTGGCCCGGACAGCTGCCACTAGTCCCTGTGGCTGCTGAGCAACTTGGAATGTGGTCAGTATGACTGAGGAGCTGAGTTTTTTACTTTATTTCATTTTAGCTAATTTCCATTCAATACTGGATGCTTGATTCGGTTACTGGAAAACCTGGATCTGTGGACCCATTCTGCAAATTCTCAGTCCTTGCTTGAGAACTACTGAATGAGAAACTGGGAGTGGGCACAGCAGTCGGGGTTTAAACAAGCCTTCTGGGTGATTCCGAGTCACCCATCTAACCCGCAGCTTCTGAGGGGGTGAGGCAGGATGAGGCCGGGTAGAGGCAGGTGACGACGGTTTGGAGAAGCAGCATGGAAACGCGGCTGTGGTAGGCAGAATCTGCCCCGCCCCAACCCCCCACCCCGAGTCCCCGCCAATATAAGATGCTCAGGTACTAATCCCTGGAATCTGTGGCTGTTATGTTACATGAGGGGAGGTGGGTTAAGGTTGCAGGAGGGATTATGGTTGCTGATCAACTGACCTTGAGATGGGGAGGTCATCCTGGACTAGCTGGTGGGCCCAGTGAAATCACAAGGGCCCTTAAATGGGGGAGAGGGAGGCAGAAGAGTGGAGACCAGAGAGAAGGCAGCATGAGAAGGGCTCACCTTGCCACTGCTGGCTTTGAGGCTGGAAGGGGGCCTCTGGAAGCCACAGAGCAGGCTCTCCCCAGGTTCTCCAGAAGGAACCACAATCCCGCTAACACCTTGCTTTTAGCCCAGGGAGGCCCATGTTGACCTTCGGGCCTGCAGATCTCTGAGGGAATACATTTGGATTGTTTAAGACCCTAAATTAGGGCAGCAATACAAGACATTTGGCACAGTGGCCAAGGGCCCAGGCCCTGGCGTCAGACTGTGCGGGTCTGCGTCTGTCTTCTGGATGTGTGAGCCTGGGAAAGTATCTTAGCCTTCCTTCCCCACCCTACAGAATGGGAGTGCTGATGACGATAATTGTATATACAAGGTTGTGAGGATGCAATGTATGCAAAACATTTGCCCCATAGTAAGTGCCCTATCAGATACTTAAAAGCAACACTGAGTCCCAAGCAATTATGAGGCCAACAGCCCAACAGACAGAGCAGTGACCAGGGTGGGATGGGGTTGAGCAGAGCAGGCTCCCTGGAGGAGGCGATGTTGGAACCCAGCTTTTAAGGAACATCAGAGAGGAAGGGAGATTGCAAAACTCCCCTACAGGAAGGGGAGCAGGTCATGATGGTGGTGAGTACAAAAGAATTTCCCCTGGTGGATAGGAGCCTGCATGGGGGTTTGATGAGAATGAAGCCCAGGAGAAATGAGGGGTGGAGGGAATCATCCCCCCAAGCAAAATAAAAGCCAAAAGCTATCACAGAAAAATGCCTGGGGTTTGATTCCATCAAAATTTAACACGTCTGTATAACAAACACATCATAGACAGATTAATAAGACCAGTGATCAGCTGAGAGAAAATATTCACAACAAATAGTGTTACTATCTAGTCTATATAAAGAGCTCCTAGAAATCAGTAAGGAAAAAAAAAATACTCCCCCAAAATCCAATAGAAAGGGAAACAGCAGATATGAATCAACAGTCACTGAAGATAAAATACAAAAATGCTCAATATGGAAAGATGTTGAACTCCACAAGTCATTGTGGAAATGCAAATTAAAACAGTGAAATGTTTTTGCCCATCAGATTGGCAAACATCAGATTGCTAACACCCGGGGTTGGCAAGTAGCAAGGAAATGAAATTCTCACAGCCGGCCAACCTGGGTGGCGTCAGTAATACCTGGGAACGGACCGGTGGGGGGGGGGGGGGGGGCGGGGGGGGCCGCTGGAGGGGTGGAGAAGCCCAGGGCCTGAAGGGGGCAGCCTAACCCTCCGTGTAATTAGAGCCTTCTCCCTCGGCTCAGCAGGGCGGCCAGAGAGGAAACAGGAAGCCCTGTCAGAAGAGACCTGCCCTTTCGGGCGTGCAGGCGAAAGGGCCGGTTCCTCCTGAGAGAATTTGCCTGCAAGGGCTTTTCTGGCGGAGCAGCACCCAGGTGGCAGTTCTGCAGTGGAGATCCCGGAGGACTTGACCGTGACTACGATTAGAATGACTGGGTTATACACCTGAAGCTAATGTAATATTGTATGTCAACTGTAATGGAAAAATAAAAAACAATGTAAGGTAAAAAAAAAAAAGAGGAAGACTTATTTTGCAAATAAAGGAACAGGCTCAGAGAGGCTCGGTAAATGAACGTGACTTGGGGCTCAAATGCAGACCTTTCTATCATCCCGAGGCCTCAGGAGGCCTGAGTTCATGTGATCACCTGGCAACAAACCTGTGCTGTTGGTGTCAGCTCCCAAATCTTCCCCTTGGGCGGTAATGCCTGGCGCGCAGTGCGCACTCCCCATACCTGCACTGCGCTATCTTTGCAAGCACTCGTTTCATTTTTCCCTCTAGGAGGTAGGAACTGTCATTTGCAACCATCTTGCAGAAAAGGAAACTGAGGCTCAGAGAGGTCAGGTAACTTCCCCAGAATCCCACAGCTGCTAAGTGGTGTGGCTGGGCTTTGAGACGCAGTCTGTCCTCTACCACTGATACAGTTAAATTGTGTGTGGGTGATCCATTCTGGGCTTGAGGTCCATACAGGGGGGTGTTTGGAGATTTAAAGGTACATGATATCTACAGAGATAGGTTGACATTAACTGTGATGGCTACACATGAGTAAAATATGTTAAATTTGTAAAAGTGACTTATTTCAAACTCCTTGTGTGCAGTCGGCCAAGTCGCTTAATCAATTGTTAAGGGAATGTGACGGTTGCACTAGACTACCTATGGGCCTCCCTGCCTCCCTGATCTCTCAGACACTCAGCATGTGAAAGACAGCCAACCACCCCAGGAAGAAAGGTGAGTTAGAACAAGATGCAACTGGCAAAGACTAACATGAGCCAAAATGTCCTGGCAAGAATGTCAAGAATATAAATAAACAAAAGCTGGCGCCCAGTAGGTGAGTCTGTGATTGGATACAACCTTCCTGGGAAACCATTTGGTGATATGTTCCAAAGTAAAAGCATATGCCTTTGGACTCAAAGATTCTAAATCGGAATTTATCATAAGGATAAGTGCTCAGAGACATGTGTCCAAGACAATGCAGTATAATTTATACAGATAGCAGCCCACTCCCAAAGACAAGGAAACAACCAAAGGTCCATCTCAGGAGGCTAGTTAACAAAAGCAGGGCTCAGTCATAAAATGGAAAAGCACGCAGCCTCTACAGAGAACAATGTAGATCTCTATATTTCCATGAAAAGGTATCACATGGAGAAGATCAAATACAAAATGCTACAAGTATATGTGTTCTACACATAGATTAGAGCATATGTGTTTTCCACATACAGAAGATATAAATACATATTTATGAAGCATAAAATCTTATGAGATTTATACTGAACTGTTCACAATTGCTATTCTTGTGGGTTGGAAGTGGCAGGGGGAAGTGGATTTCACTTGCTATTTTTTGCATTTTTATAGCAATCATGAGTAAACAGAAAATATATTTCTATTTATGAGTGAGGTTGATGGAAGCCCTACAGAATCATTAAGACTTCTCCCAAGGGCAACGTTGATTGATTCTATTGTATGTGAACTATAATTGAAAAATAAGACTACTGTTCTGGAAGTCAGTGTGTTATTTTTGCTTGTTTTGTTTAAAGTAACAAAGGGAATGCAACAAAATTCATTTGTTCATTCATAGTTACATAGAGAGCCTATGTCCCACTCACTTTGTGGGAAGTTCTATTTGATGACAACACCGACTCTAGTCACCCCTGCTCAGACCTTTCTCATCAGCATTTAGTGCATCATATTGCAGTGGACCAGTCCTAGGTCTTCCTCCTGGACCAGCCTGTGGCAGCCCGAGGGCTGGGAGCATCTTATTCATCCTCATGTCCCGTGCCCATCACGGGACTTCATGTAGAGGCAGTGAGCATTTCATTCATTGAGCAAGCATTTCATGAGCACCCACAATGCACTGGGTCGTGGGGATACACGAGTGAACAAAACAGATATGGTCTGACGTCTGGGAGCTTATGGTGTTGAGTAAATAAATGACTCTCAGGTGAGTTATTGGCCAGGAAGATGAATGAACTCAGAGTATAGGAAGAACTGATCTAGTGAGTTTGAGGACTGGCCTGGAGCAGACGAACCAGCCTGTCTCAGGGAAGTGGCGTTCACATTTTTTTTTTTTTTGCCAGTGGAATCTCTTTTCAATAAACAAAATAGAGAACAATAATACTATTATAAACTCTTAAGTTCAATCAAAAGCATTCATGGATCATGCAACCTATATAATTTTGATGGGCAAAAAATAGTTGAGATATAACACATGACATGTGTGATGCGGTTACCAGTTTTTCAATACTCAAAAACATAATAAAGATCGAATTCAAATAAAGGATTGACAGAACTCTGGAGTTTGAAAAACTGCTGTTCTGGAAGTCAGAGTGTTATTTTTCTTGTTTTGTTTAAAGTAACAAAGGGAATGCAACAAAATTCATTTGTTCATTCATCCAGTAAGTACTGAGCACATTCAATGGGTCAGGTACTCTTATAGTGAATTCAATATTAATGGCCTTGGGGATTACAAGGAATTAAGAAATTAAGGGTGGTCATGGTCTCATTTGGGTAGAACTCTACAGGGATAGGTTCACGTACGTCAAAAGGATCTCCCAGGTATATGCCAAAACTTTAACAGCAGTCAGTGCTGGGGAATAGGCACATTTCTGTCTACACTGTTGGAATTTCTATAATACTCATTTTGTGATATGCTGTAATCACACATGGGGAGAAATGACTTAAAAAATCCTGGTCTGACTGTCAGAGAGGTACCTGAGCAGGAAGAGTGACACAGCTGTCAGCCAGGTGACCACACAGCCACACTCATCCAGCCGAGATCTCATAGCTTAAGATCCTGAACCTTGAACCCCAAACAACCCTTGGGGTGCCTAACGCTCTCTACATTCGAAAAAAGGGGAAACAGCACATATTGAGCATCACTCACATCTCTAAGAACCCGAAAATCAGTGTCCCCTGCAGGAGCCAGCAGCAGGAGCCCAGGCCAGTGTTGTGTCCCAGGAAGGGTCTGGGCTTGGGGTCCCATGGACCAAGCTGGACACCCCCACCACTTGGGCCATTTCCTAGACCTCTCAGAGCATCTGTTTCCTCATCTGTAGGAAGGGAGAGGGATTCTTGCTTCAGAGGGTGATGTAAGAACTGAAAGACCTACACCCCCGGCACATGGTAGGTCTTCAACTTGGTCCCCTCGTTCCTCAGCCTTGGCCCTGAGACACCAGTAGCCCAAACCTCCCCCATCTCCTCCTGTGATTCCTGTACCTGCAGCCCAGGTCAGTCCGGCACTGGGCACAGCGCCCCGGCCGCCTGGCGATGTGAGCCCGTGGGATCCTGGGACACGGTGAGGCCAGGGACACGGGGGCCAGCCTCCCCATCTGGGCGGTGGAGAGAAGGGCAGGCTCCACCATGAGCTGGCACCTCACAGCTCACAGGTGCCTCCGCGCTGCTGCTGCCGCTGCCGCTGCTGTTGCTGTGGGGCTGACTCAGGCAGCGATGTGAGCAGGAGAGAGGCTGTTCGCCCAGTTCCCAGACACCCCCTAACCAGGGCAGAGGTCCAACCTCCTCCCAGGCGGGGCTGGCTCAGCCAGAGCCACCTACACACACACACATACACACACACACACACACACACACACACACACACACACACACACACCTGAGCCCTGCCCACCTGCCTGCACTATGGTCAAGTGGAAATGGCACCTTTAAAAAACAGCCATAAATTATAATTTATAGTGCCATTTTTATTACCCATAGGCCTTTCATTGTAGGTAAAACTGCATTAATAAAAGACCAGACTGCCCAGTTGGCATGGCTCAGTGGTTGAGCGTTGACCTATGAATCAGGAGGTCAGGGTTTGATTCCCAGTCAGGGCACAAGCCCGGGTTGCGAGCTCTATATCCAGTGTGGGGCTTGCAGGAGGCAGCCAATCAATGATTCTCTCTCATCACTGATGTTTCTCTCTTCTCTCTCTCTCTCTCTCTCTCTCTCTCTCTCTCTCTCTCGGAAATCCATAAAAAAGTTTTGAAATAAATAAATAAAAGATCTGACTACTGTCGACAGGAAAAGCATCCCTGACCCGGGGGTCTTCCCCCAAGTGGCCACACCCTCCGGGACTGTGAGCGGTCTCCCACCTTCTCCCAGCCTTGGTCTCCTCCTCTGTGAGATGGGGATGGGGACTTTGCTAGGAAACAGAAAAGCAAGCAGGCAGGAATGTGTTGGGGGGTGAGAAAGGGCAGGGCTTGGGTGGGGGAAGGAAGGATGCTAAGGGAGGAGGAAACGCAAGTGGCCAGCTGTGGGGGTCAGAAGAGCCCCCCTGGGAACTGGCCTTTAGCCCTGAATGTGAAGTAGGGATGAGGAAGGGACATTCCTCCTGGCTTCCCTGGCTTCTGTCCTTCCTCTGAATCTGTATGGGCCAGGAGCCCCTCCTCTTACTCTCTGGCCGGGACAGAATGCCATGATCCACCCCTCCACACACCCCTGCTGCCCTTCCCTCGGCATACTTGCCTTTAAGAAGAGCAGCCCAAGGATGCTCCTTAGGAGGGGCCCAAAGCCACGGGTCACTGTGGTCTGCTCTGGCCTGGGGGGAGCAAGAAATGGAGCCCAACAACTGGACATCGCCCCACGAGAGCGACAGCGCCCAGGAATATGCATAGTCTTGGCACCAAACGATGGGCAGGAACCTTTAGGAGCCCGAGTCTCAGGCGGCCATCACTGCTCTCATGTGCAGACTAGGGCTGTACAGATGACTGGCTGTCCACTTCTCCCACGCCTTTCCTGAGGAGGAGATCCTGAAACCACACCACCAGGAGGCCAAGTGTCTGGGGTTCCATTGGCGCAGAGGTCCTCCCTCCAAATATGTAAGTGGAAGTAGCAGTAAAAGTGGGTGAAAAAGTAGTTTGGGAGGCATGAGAAGCTTTGTGTGGAAAACATGGTAGGTGCTTAATAAAGGTTGGATGGATGGATGGATGGATGGATGGATAGATGAATGATTGATGGATGGGTGATGGATGGATGATGTCTACATGGATGATGGATGGATGGATGGATGGATGATAGGTGGAAGAGTGAATGGCTGTGTACATGAATGTGCGAGCATGAGTACTTGAGTAAATGAATGAATGAATGAATCAGTGAACCATTAGGTGAATGAGTGGATAAGTAAATGAATGAATAGGTAGAGGCTGGAGTAAGTCAATATGTTAGTACCTGAATAAATGAACTTCTAGTCCAGTATAGAAAACCTAACATCACTTCCTTCAGGTGTAAGGAACCCTTGGAAAGAAAGCAAGAGGAAGAGAGAGTAGCCTGAATCTTGACTAAACTGCACTTTCAAGCTTCTTAAAGGAAGCACCACCTCTTGGCTTCCTGGAGAGCTGTGTGCACTGAGAATGAAGTGAAGTGTGTCCATGCTCCGGGCAACATTCCTCAGCCGGGTCCCAGCCCTGGAGTATCGGCTGGGCCGGTTAGGTCGCAGTGGAGTGACTCAGACATGGCGGCCCTGCACCTGGCCACCTGCCAGCACCTCGCCAGGCAGCCTGTGATCCAGCCCACCCACTCACCATCGTCAAGAGCATTCCCTGCCCCTCTGACCCAAGAGGCTCCCCGGGATCACGTGCTATGTGCTCAGCACTCCCTCCCTGCCTTTCTACCTCTCTGAGCAGCTCCCACTCCCCACTATAGTGCTCTCCTGCCCTGTGTGATGTAGTGGAGTCTCATAGGCCTGGAGTTCATCCTCAGCTCTGCCATTTGGGCTGTGTGACTTCAGGCACGTGCCTTAACCTCTCTGAGTCCCAGCTTCATCATTTCAATGCAAACCTTGCCTGCCACCAGGGCTAGTTGTTAGGATCAGAGGGATAATGCATGCCCAGTCTGTGCCTGGCACATGATGTACACCAAACATTGTATGTCCAGGTTGCTCAGCTTTTTGCTTTTGGCAACAATTCATGGAGCATTATAAAGCGCCAGCCAAGCACTGTGCTCAGAGCTCTGTGTGTGTTCCCACAGTCAGTCCTCGCAGAGGGTGTTGGGGGTGGACCTGTGTCTTGCCAGGATTAGCTGTGGACATCCTAACCCCAGGACCTCAGAACATGACATTTGGAAGTAGGGTCTCGACAGAGGTAATCAAGTTCAAATCAAGTTCAAGGGCCCTGATCCAATGACTGGTCCTTATGAAAAGGGAACTGGGACGCTGCATGCGCAGAGGAAGGCGGCGTGACACATACGGAGACCCGTGAGGATGGCGCTGCCAGCAGCTGGGGGAGACAAGGAAGGTTCTCCCCTTCCCAGCACAGGGGGAACCCCCGCCCTGCCTGCACCCTGATTCTGGACTTCCAGCTCCTAGACCTGGAGACTCGACATCCCCCCTCTCAGCTGCCCCATATATGGTACTTTTGTGAGTGACGGCCACAGAAAGCAAATACAGAGGAGACGGTCCCATTTTACTGATGGTGACACGAGGCCTGAGGGGATGGTGGTGGGAGGGTGAGGGGCTCAGGGCGGGAATGGAGCCCGTGTCTCTGCCGACCCCAGCAGCGCCCCCACCTCACCCTGGGACTGTCCTCTCAGATCCCCGAGCTCTTGGGGCTGGGGAGACACACACACTATTGTTCTGAGTTTCCTCATATTTTTGCAAACATCAACAGCACAACGGGAAGCTGCACGGTTCCAGTCCAGGAAGAGCCCGGGGTATTGTGTGGATCCCAGGAAACGCGTCTCAGTTAAGAGTCCGGAAAATAGGCCACTTCCAGGCTCTGCGACTCGGGGCCAGTGACTTAACCGCAATGACCCTGAGTTTCCTCATCTGAAAATGTTACTGCGACCCACTACAGAGGCTGTGATGAAGAGCAAGTAAGAGAACACATGGGAAGCACTCGGCACTGGGCAGGCACTCAGTGGGCTGCTAAGATGGGGATGATGCCTCTCGGGGGGAGCCTATCACTAGGTCACAGGTGTGTTTGTCAGACACACACGTCTCCTGCCTCACAGGACAAAATGCCAGGAAGGCGGCCCCAATCCACACCCAGGGTCTCAGCCCCCACTCAAAGCAGGAGGGCATCTCCTCACAGCCCTCACCACTTACCTGCCAGTGGCCCTGAGGAGCTGTGGCCCCTGCCTGCTGCTGGGTGATCCCAGGAATGCGACCAGATGTCCTGCAGGACCGGCTGTGCCAGCTCCCCCTTGGGGTCTGAGCCCCCAAGGCTCCTCTGGCTCCTCTGGAGGGTCAGGGGGTGGGGTGTGGGGTGACTCACCTGGCTTTTCTAGGTCAGCATGGAGGCTGAACAATGGCCAATGGGGGGTGGGGGGAGGGCAGTGGCTGACAGGGAGCAGTGTGTTTGGAGAAAATTCCAGACAAGCCAGGAGGAAGCTACAGCCACAGGGGAAGTTTGTTATCAAAAGTGTTTATTCAACACCAGGAAAGCTCCCAGCAAAACAGTGACAAAGCTCATCAGCCAGAACAAAGCATGTGTAGAGAGAGGAGTGTGTGTGTGTGTGTGTGTGTGTGTGTGTGAGAGAATGTGTGTGTGTGAGTTTATGAGTGTGAGTGTGTGTGTGTGAGTGTATGAGTGTGTGTGTGTGAGTGTATGAGTGTGAGTGTGTGTGTGTGTATGAGTGTGAGTGTGTGTGAGTGTATGAGTGTGTGTGTGTGAGTGTATGTGTGAGTGTGTGTGTGTATGAGTGTGTGAGTGTGTGTGAGTGTATGAGTGTGTGAGTGTGTGTGTGAGTGTGTGTGTGTGTGTGTGTGTGTGAGTGTGATGAGTGTGGGGTGTGTGTGTGTGAGGGTGTTATTTAGGGCAGCGGTCGCCAACCTTTCAGACCTCAGGGACCACCAGTGGTCCGTGGCCCACCGGTTGGCGACCGCTGATTTAGGGGGTGTTCATGGGCCAGAGGCCAGGAGAAACAGGCACTTTTGTACACATTTTCGGTGCCACCTTTTGTTAAGACAACTTCGCAGTATCTGCAAACTGTAAAGGCACAGATATTATATTCAACAAGTCCTCCTTTCAGAATTTATCCCACAGACAGCAGCACACTTGTGTGCAAAGATACAAGTTCAAGGGCGTTCACGGCAGCCTTGCTGGTGAGCACAGAAACCTCACCCAGCAAATGCGGTGGCTCAGATCCCAAAGGGCGGCTCCCCACCACGCGAGGAACCCGGCTCTAGCCCAGAGCCATAGGGAGCTTCAGAGGGCCCTACGCAGGGAGACGATGGCGTGTCTGGATCTGTGCTTTGGATGGATCATTCAGACGCAAGGGCAGAGCAGGGGAGACCCGACTCCGGGAGACCAGCCAATAATTCCTGCTCCCTTCTTTCTGCTTGCAGTGGCTGATGGAATGTGTGACGAGAGGGAAAGAGGGGACAAAGGTGACACCTGGTGAGACTCGGGAAGGCCTGTCCCCTCTACAGCCCACCCACCCTTGCTGCCTCTGGGGGGCTGGTGGGGGTACAAGGACAGATTGGGATTTCTTCCAAGTGTCTCCCCATGACTGCCCCAATCCAACCTGGTGAACCATCGGCCCAGTGGGCCAGGGCCAGCTCTGGAGCCGCAAGGCTTAGGTTCACATCCCAACTCCACCACTGCAATTCAACAAGTTACTTGACTGTACTGTGCCTCAGTTTCCCCTCTGTGATCCCACCTGATAGAATTCTTGTGAGGGTTAAAAACAATGTGTGTGAAGTACACAGAAAAGCGCCTGGGACATAGTAAGCACTCATTAAATGTGAGCTCTTCTTAAAACAATCAGGTGTATGGTAGACACTCTGAAGATGTTTATAAAGTCAACGTTGTTAAAATCAGCCTGAAGGCCGAGGAGTGAGTCTGAAATGAGACAATGGAGGTTCAGAGCAAGATCCCCCAGCCCTTTGAACAGACGGGAAGGAGGGTCCGGGTTCCTAAATGGGGTCAGGAGGCCCAGGTCAGGGCCAGGGAGGCCCAGGCCCCACAGCTTGTGAATGAATAGACTTGGTCAGGCCCAGAATGCGCATCAGGGTCTCCTGAGCTCAGGCAGCCCCTGTTGCCTTTAATATGGACCCACACGCTCAGGCCCAGCCCTGCCCGAGGACCTCTTCTCAATTCATTTGGCCAACTTCCCCCGTTTGACTGCTTATACCGTCTTCACAGCTGCGGGCTCTTCCCCCAGACCTGGGGGTCCTCCGGAGACTTTGGAGGGAACGAGGTGGGCGTCCCAGAAAAGCGCCTCGGTCGCTGAAGTCCTCTCCCCTCCTTGGTGAGTCTCTCCCATCCACTTAGGCCATTGCCACTGCCCAGCGGACTCCAGGAAAACCAAGCTGGGAGCAACTGGCAGGTTGGGTCTAGGGATGACAATGGAATGAGAGTGAGAGAGGGACAGATATTGGGGGGTGAGGAGGGGTGGGAATTGCTCTGTGTAAATGGACAGGGTCCCCGAGCAGAGTTTGACTATCTCCTTTTCTTACCCCACTAACTGTATGCAAACAAGACAGGCTACATAATTTGTGGGACTCATGAATAATGAGCACGTGGACTCCTTGTTACAAATTATTAAAAATTTCAAGACAGCAACAGCCGAGCATTATACCAAGATGGGCTCTGCTGAACATGGGACCTCATGTGCCCACACAAGTCACGCCCCGTGAAGTTGGCCCCATGCACAGGACTGTGGGGAAAGGGGCCTCAACTATCAAGGTCGTGACCCGGGAAGGCTAAGAATCACTGTAACTGAGGGCACATGACGGTCCGTGCTTCTCAGCCCCACCTCCTTCCTCCACTCGGACTGGCAGGGGCTCCAAGTTGTGACCCACGGGGCAGAGAAGGGGGTAATGACATGTTGCAGGGGCAGACTTCGGAGGAGGGCAGGCCCTGATGGCCAGGGGAAGAGAGAGATAATGAAAGAGATGGAGGATGGGGTGGGACTGCATGTGGGGTGGGAGGCAAAGAGAGCCATGAGGCGGACCCCCAGCATGGGGCTCGTGCAGCCAGACCAGCAATGGGAGTGCTGTTCATGGCGATGGAGTGAAGTTAGCAGGTCACGTGTTGGGTTTTGCTTTGTTGGGTTTAGCAAAGGGAATAAGCCATCCCATCCTCAGAAGGAAGGCTAGGCGAGATACACACATTTGGGGGCCCCTGGCGGGGAGATGGCGTTTAGCCCCATTGGATTGGATGAGGCCACCTGGTGTGCACAGCTGCGGGGCTCCTTCATGCTGGGCACGTTACCTGCGGCACTGCTGCCCTACGTCCTCGATTGTAAAATGGACACCAATACACCATCCTCCTTGTGGGCTTTCATAAATGCACGTGTGAGAGGGAAATGCTCAGTACAGGCCTGGTACCCAAGGAGTATCAGCTGGCATTATTATCAGTATTATTTTATCCCTCCTACAAACATCCATTGAGCCCCCACCGTGGCAAAAGATAAGGGAAAGCAGAGCAGGGGGGCCGTGAGGCTGGGAGAGATGTCCGTAATAAGGAGGGCAGTCGGGGGGACCCTGCTGAGAGAGTGAATTTGAGCAAAACCTCAGAGGTGAGGGAGTGCACCACGCGGATGTCTAGGGGAGAAGGGCTCCAGGCGGAGGCAACAGTCAGGGCAAAGCCCCCAGGGAGAGTTGCAGGAGGTGAGGCCAAGAAGCAAAGGGTGGGGGACCTTTGTAAGGTGGCTCCCACATGGCAAGAACAGGTCTCCCACACAATGAGGCAGAAGGTTCTCCGACGCGGCAGAGATGGCAAACTCTGCAATGGCGGAGGGAGTCAGCTGTCCATCTGGCAGCTGCCCGAGGCTGTGGACAGTCTCTGAGGCTGCCCTCCCCCTCCTCCCCCCGCCATCTCCCAGAAAGGGCCTCACCTGGCAGAACTGGCTCACTGGCCAGGCCTCTCCTCCTCTTGGCTCTGGAGTGTACTGTCCCACTCCGCTGGGCCTTTGCTCCATGGCTCCCAGTCAAAGCACAAATCTGACTCATTTTCCTCTGAATCTGTGGAGGAGTAAGACAAGGTTTCTTGGAGGGTCACATCCTGTCTCCTATCCCTGATCCACAAGGAGCCCCCTGCCAGGCCTGGGCATCCTTGCAGCCTTGTCTGAGGCCAGGGGGCCAGCCCTGAGACCCCGGGAAGACTTCAGGGCCTAGAATGGTGACCAGGGATCAAAAAGGTTGCTCTGTAACTCACCAAGAGGCCCTGTCCACTACTAAACAGGGAAGGACCCTGAGGTGAGCAAACGGCCTACCTGCATTGGGAGCGGTCCAGGAGCAGGCACGGAGGAGACACAAACCCAACCATCCATTTGTCCACCCGTCCATTCATTCACAAATATCTGAGTATACAGGTACAATGATTTCCATTGCAGCCGTTTTGTGGTAAAATACACACACACAACAAAGCACCCTAGAAACCATGTGTGTGCACATCCACCATGAGAGTTCCAGTTGGTCAAAGTATGGCACAGTCACACCTAATGGAGGCCCGCCCGTCCATCCGGTGGCAGGTCATGAAGCTATTACAGGAACTGCATTGGGTCTGTACCTTTCTGCTTGCAGGATGTCTATGTATTTCAAGCAAACTTCAGAGGAATTTATGTGATAGAATTCCCCCCCCCCCTTTTTTAATAGGAAAACAAAGAATACTCCCTCCTCCATTTATTTTAAACCTGCAGGTGTCATTAAATAGGTGCATGAGCTTGCTCACATGGCTTACCTTGGGAAGCAAAGGGAGAAAGGCTAGAGGGCAGAGGAGGTTGTTATTTTTCTTACTACATAGACTCTTATTTCACCAGCTGCAAAGCAGTAAAGAAGGCTGAAAAAGGCCCTCAGATTGCAGACCAAGAGCCGAAGTTAGAAAAGACTGAGCCTCATTGTCCTCATCTGTAAAATGGGCACAACAATAGCCTCTTCTATAATGAGGGTTAACTGAAGTGAGATTTGTAAAACGGGCATTCAATAGTGTTGGCAGTTATCAGTTAAAAATCAGCGCCATAGCTTGAAGTGGCTGATCTTCACTAGATATGGCGATTGTTTTCTGAACACGTACTATGTGCTACATGTTTTACATACCTCTTCTCATTTAACCCTCTTAACGACTTCCTGAGGCAATTACCGATGTTTTTCATATTCTACAGTGGGGAAGGCTCACAGCCAGGAAGTGGTCCTGCTGGACTCAAATGTGCCTCCTGTACTAGGTGCCACGTGTTCCATTGGGTGCACCTGTTTGAGGTCGGGGACCTCAAAGGCAGCTTTGAAATTAACAACTCACTCCAAGGACCAGCTTGAGGAGCGGTCAGGACCCTCAACAGGCATAGCCTATGGTGCCCACTTCTGTTTTAGCCCTAAGTCCATTTACTTGGAGGTCTCCCCTCTTCTTTCTGCAAATTCCAGGGTCTTCCCCTTGAAGGACACGCCTGGCTTGGTCCTCTCTCACTATATAACGGCAGGGGGTTAATGTGTCCCCATGGCCAGCTTCCCAGGGCTTACCAGAAAGCTTCCTTCTCTCCGCCCACTTGCTTCCCCCTCAACTGGGGAAACTGCATACTCCTTGGCCACATTGGCCACGAGGTATGTTGCTCAACCCTTGCCTCCTGTGCCCTGAAACTGCCCTGTGGAGCCTGGCCAGGCAGGGGTGGAGGGGAGTCAGAGCTACTTTGTCTGCTTTCCACTGGATTCCAGACAAAACTGACTCCAATAAAGAGATCCACAACAGATATTAAACCACAGAGGAGGGTCTTGCAAGCCCCAGTCCCCACCAAACCCTGGCAGGCCCAGACCCTGGATTTGGACCAGTTCCCAGCACAAGGACAGAACAGACGCAGTAATACTGAGAGTTCCAGGAAGACAGAGACGGTGAAGGGCCGCTCAACTCACTTTAAGGGGCAGTTTCTGTTCATTGCAAAAATAACAAAAGAACCCTGGCCGGCATGGCTCAGTGATTATAGCGTTGGCTCGTGCACTGAAGGGCTGCAGGTTCGATTCCCAGTCAAGGGCATGTACCTGGGTTGCAGGTTCAATCCTGGTTGGAGCACGTTTGGGAGGCAACCAATTGATGTCTCTCTCTTTCACATCAATGTTTCTCTCTCCCTCCCTCTCCCTCCTCCCTTCCACTCTAAGACTCAATGAAAAAAATATCCTCCGGTGAGGATTAACCAAAAAAATTAACAAAAAGAATTTATTTATTGGTTGTTTCAGGTGAGATGTCAGCAGGTAAACTGCCTCTCAGGAGAAAGGTGAGAAGGGGTGGGGCAGGGCAGGTGCAAGTAGCTTTCAAGCAGGGCCTCCAAGGAGAATGAATTGGAGGAAATCAGAGCCTTAGACCTCAGGGAAGATGTCCCTTCCCCTTCCAGAGATGCCACTCAAAGCCACTGCTATTCTTCCTCCTACCCTGACAAAACCAATATGGACTAGATCATTTCTCAGCCTGCAAGCACCTACTATGTGTACCTGTGCTGTGTGCCACACCCTTGCTGTGCATCTCTCCAAAAGGGCAGGGACCATTATTATCTCCATTTTGTAGATGAGAAAATCAAGGCTCGGGAGGGCTTGTCCAGGGCTACACAGCTGGGAGGTGCCAGAGTCTTAACTACTCCCTTGGTGCGTGACCTCGGGCAGGTGGCTTCTCTCTCAAGCCTCAGTTTCCTCAGTCGTACAGTAAGGACTACTTCACATGGTTATTCTGGGACTAAATGAAACATTACGCATCAGGTACTGAGCACAAGTCCTAGTGCACAGGTTCAGAAAAGCCCAGCTGTCATTATGAACTGTTGAGGGGCAAAGCTGGAATCTGGGCCCACATCCCCTAGACTCCAGACCGACGGCTGTTATAGCCATTACACAGACACATATGCTGACTCCACCAGCCACTGCCCGATGCCCGAGGGCCGTGGTGTATCCTGGGAATGAGGAGATCATTCTCTAAAAGCTCTCACCAGGAGCTCCCAATATTTACACCATGACCCCCACATTTGAAATCATGGGGTAGTTTAGGGGGTGAACTACTCACCCCGTCTCAATGCCATCTGACCAGAGGTGACAGCACACTCAGTGCCCTCCCTGCTTGCCCAGTTGGCCAAAGTTCATGGGGCTGAGGAGCAGGAGGTGGGAGGTCAAGCTGTCCTGAGGAAGAGCTCAGGAAGACAGGATGGGCAGGGTGTCATTCCTGCCACATGGCCAAGCTGCATCCCTGCCCACCCCCAGCTTCCAGGGGCCAGCTCCACCCCAGCACGCTGAGCTCAGGACCCTATGTCCCAGAGAAACTGGGTCCTCCCTGATGTGTGGTCCAGGGGAAAAGGGTGAGTGGTCACTGGCCCCTGATAAATGCCTAAGGCTGCCGCCTCCCACTGTGCAGTGTTTACTGCACAAGAGCACGGAGCTGAAGGGTGAGAGGGACTGAAACCCAGCCTACGCTCTGCTCTCAGAGCCTGTGCCCTGGCTGCACTCACAGGAAGGGACACCTTCTACTAATTCATCTGCCCAGAGGGGTCACCACTTTCTGAGGGCCATGGCTAGCACCAAAGACCTTACATGCCAGTCGTGGCCCTGAGGGGACACAGACACACACACACATACTGCTTCCCGGCCGAACTCAGGGATTCACCCTTGAACTCTAAGAAACTAAACTACCAAATTAGTCATTTTCTTTTTCAGGTGACCGCTTGTTGGCTCTGAGCCAGCAGTGAAAATGCCCCCAAAGAAGCTCCTCTCTCCGCAGTGGTTTCCAGACCCCTGCCCAGCTCCAGGATTAGGGCCCAGCCTGGGTGGCTCACCTTGGCTAAGTAAGAAGCGAAACCAGACGATCAATAAGAACAACAGCAAGGCCACGGGCAGGCCGAGCCAGAACACCAGGAAAGAGAACGTGAGGTCGTTCACCAGCGGCACCAGAGGGTACTTCATGGTGCGTGTGAGGCCAAGCCGGGCCAGCCTGAGCTGGGCTGGCAGGGCTGCTCTGGGGATCTGGTAGGCTGGGCCATGCTCTGCTCTCAAACCAATTGTGACTGAGCTGGTGACGCAACAAGGAAGTTACAGTGTCCTTCAGGGAAGGGAGAGCTATTTGGATGAATGGTCAGGAGCCGGGGCAGTGAGAGTTAGCCTGGGCAGGCCTGGGTTTGATTCCCTGCTAAGTTGCTGTTGGGTTCATGTGCCACCTCCGGGATCCTCTTGTAGGATGGGAATAATTCTTTCCTCACCAAGCTGCTAAAAGTTAGAAAAGCAAATGCTGGGATAAGCACTGCCCGCAGGTGGGTGTTCATATATTGGAGGTCACAGAATCCTCTAGGAGCCAGCTAGGTCCCTGATCCCAAAATTCAGGCTCCATGTGCCCACACTTACACTTTGTGGGAGTGGTGGGGACTGCAAACCGGATGGAGCGTAGAGCCTACAAAGCAGACAGCTGTCCCAGGAACTGATGTGTGGGAAGTGCAGGTCCAGTACAGCCAGCTCTTCTGACTTCCAAGACAGCCAAAGCATCGGAGTTTTTATGTGAAATCTGCCAATTTAAAAATACTGAATCAAACATTAAAATACTGTTGGCTAAACAAAACAAGTCTGGTGGGCCAGATTGGGTCACTGGGCTGACACTTAAAAACTTTCTAACAAATAGTAGGCCCTCTGTAAATGATTCTTATTTAATCAGGAAGCTTTGGCACCTCTCCTTATTAGGGAGTTCAGTGAAGAGCTTCTAAGGCTTTAACCTTGTTCCTTCATCTCCCAAGTGGGCAGAATACTCTCAAATGCCATTCTTACCTCCTCCCACCCCCCTCATTCACTCATTCATTCATGAAGTGAACCTCCACGTGCCAGGCCCTGGGGAGGGAGGCCCGGGAACTCGCAGAGCCTGATAGTCCCTGAGCTGGAGCCTGGTGGGTGCAGGAGGTCAACACAAGTGGCTGCTGTGTGGGAGGGAGGCAGCAGCACGGTGTTCTCTAAGAGGGTCCTTGGACCACCTGCCTGTCACTGCCAGCAGGTGGGTCCGGGGTGCAGGACACTTGGGAAACACGCTGATTCCCATGTTCACCCTGTTCTACAAAGTCAGAACCTCCAGGGGCTGAGGCTCAGGACTCAACACATTAATGGGCAACCATTCTGTTGCAGACTTGATTTCGAGACCACAGCATTTCACGGAGCACAGGTTGGAAAGCTGGGCAGACCCAGTTCCAGGCTGGGGGAGCAGCTGCACAAAGTGGGTGGTAGACGTAGAAGGAGTCATGGGTTGAAAGGACCCCCTTCTAGGAAGCCACCAGCCTGGGGAGAAGGGCAAGAGGGCCAGCCACAAGACAAATAAGGGAGGGGAGCCCGGCCAGAGTGGCTCGGTTGGTTGAGCATTGTCCTGTGCACCAAAAGGTTGCCAGTTCGATTCCCTGTCAGGGCACATACCTGGGCTGTCGGTTCCATCCTTGGTTAGGGCATGTACCACTCATCGACGTTTCTCTCTCACATCGATGTTTCTCTCTCTCTCTCTCTCCCACCCTTCCTCTAAACATGTCCTCAGGTGAGGATTACTTAATTAAATAGATAGCTAGATAGCTAGAGAGGAGGAAAGAGTGGGGAGAGCTGGGGCTTGGAGGGCCAGTGTGTGTAAAGGGAGCCTTAGCCCAGATGTGGGACAACCAGAGTCCTCAGAGGAAGTCTGGGCAGATGGTATTAGAATGTGTGTCCAAGAAGCAGTGCCTTGATGGGCTGTGCCACTCAAGACCCAGAGTTCAAGACCAGAAACTAGGTGGGCTGGGTTGGGAGTGATTTCTTGGCACCGGGTCCTGAAGGGCCTGGGGTCAGAGAGAGCAGGACAGCCAGGTGAAAAAGGCTCACACACACATTTTCTTGTCAGATCCCAAAACAGGGCCACTGTGCAGCCAGCCCAGAGAGAAGCCTCCTAGGCCCCCAGGGCTGGCTGGAGGTCCTGGGGTGGGCAGGTGTGGACACAACTGCAGGGAGGTGGCTCCCTGGCACAGTCCAGGGACCGCACACTAACTTCACATGGAATCAGTGCCAGGCTGGAGGGGGCGGCTCTAGGCAAAGGCACCCATCTCCACTTCAGGGAGCATGACCACCCATGTGTCATCTAGGCATTAAGATGCTAATCTGGCCCCCTAGAACCCTCTGCAGCCAAACCTCCCCCACTTTCCTGACTGGCCAGCTTGGCAGAGCTCAGTCCTCTGTGGGCAGAGAGCACAGTGCGTTCCGTGTATCTCGGGACTGCTGCTCCTGGGATGTGGCCTCTGCTGGCAGGGACTTCATTACACAAGCTCCTTCCAGCGCAGAAGCCAAATACTTTGACCAAGTCTGAGTACTTGATGAGACTCCCCCAAACCAGGAGGAAACCTCCCAGATCTAACATTGGAAAGAGTAAGTTAGAACACCCAAACAGGAGTCAAACCCCGGCCGAGGACCAAAAGCACACACGACGTTAGTAGATAAGAATCTCCTTAAAATTTAATTGACTAAATGTATTACATTCAATATTCCATGGGTTTCTTCTGGACAAAGGATCGGCATAAATACAAACAAGCCTCTGGGCCTTCTTCCCTAACCAACGAAGAGAAAACACAGGAGGCGAGGGACACGGCCTTCATATTTACATTTCGCCTTTACTTTACAGTTCAGAGCCAGAAATATTTACAGAAAATACAATAAGAAAAAGGTTATGTCTTGGCAACGTATTGAAATTCATACAAATTGTATATATGGTTTCAAGCAAATAATGATACTGCTTATCTTTTAGCCACAACTGCCAAGCCCTTCGGAGGAGAAAGATGTTCTTGGTCACTGCAAGAGACAAGGACTTGGGAAACTTGGTTTGCTTCAACAAATATTTATTGGGCGCCTACTATATGCAAGGCACTGTGGAATCCCAAATTATACCTCTTCCCTCACCATTATAAAAAAAGAAAAGCATCTGAAGAACATGAGTTGATACTCTTGAGAAAAACACTATACAGTAAGTACATGGCTTCTTTAGCTACCAAGAAAAGAACCCCCGTTTGCTTCCACATTGAGCGGGTGGACTACCTCCAATCTCTCTGTCTCAGGAAAAGAGGCTGTCATGGAAATCCTTAAAACAGACCATCTAATGCAACTTACCATTTCATGTAAACATATGAACCATTTTTTAAGGAAGATATAACCTGAATGGGTTTTTAAATGCTGAATGGAGAACTACTGCCAGCAGGAGTGTCAAATTATCTCTATTACACTTTTTACCAGCTACTTTTTACAAACCAAGCCTCTGAGAAATGCCGACTCCCACTTTGGGTAAAGTTCACCTGACAGTAAAAATAAATACTCTTGAAGACTCTGCCTTTTTAAATAGCAGTCTGCAGAACCTGACAGAGTTCCTCCGTGCACGTAGAAGTAACCGTTTGTGAAGACCTCGCGACATTTCTGGCCAAAGCTGTAGGTTTTTGTATTTATGAGGCCAGAGGAGAATGGGTTGCCCTGAAGTAGAGGACCTGGAAATGGTGAGCAGCATGGATGCGTGTGTGTGTGCACGCACGTGTGTGTGTGTGTGTGTGCGTGTGTGTGAGTGTGAGTGTGTGTCTGAGTAGTGTCAACCCACAATGTAAGTATTCCTGTCAAACAGCCAATGGGCAGGAGAAGGGGGAACTTAGGGGGAAGCACTGAACAAAAGGGAAAGTTGGCTGAACAAGGAAAGGGTTAAAAAGGCAAAAGCCCTGTTACTGTCCTCAGTGCTTCCAGAGAGAGGAAGAGGAAAGCCTCCATCACCAAGCGCAAACTAGAAGGATGAGTAACTACTTGACTCTGTCCCTTGGGTAATGCTTTTCTTGTCATGAATGCCACGCTCATCCACCTCCCGGTGCACCCGTCACATACAGCAACTAAACTAAGCCACAGGCCCAAGTGGTCACGGCTTCCCTCCAAAGGTTATGAGTGCACGCTAGCAAGCTTATAAAGTGGACTTCTAAAAACTGTTACTAGGGACTAAATATGCTCCTCTGCCATTATTCTACTCAACGTGACTTTAACAAAGGTAGGTAGGTGACCTTAGTGACCATGAACTCAAACCCGTAATTCTAGTGAAAGGTGCAAGGCTCTTACCACACCTCCTTTTAAAGCAGATGTTATTTTGAACAGAAGGAACCAGCACCTGACGAGGTCGCATACCTCGTACTGTTTGTGCCTTACATACTGGACTTCATAGTCCTGAATCCACCTCGCCTTCCCTGGGAGACCACTAGATCTTTCAGGTCACAAATTCCATTCAACACAGATGTTCACTTATCAAAGCCATTCGAATTACAAGGAGTTGCCAGAAATTGTAGCAAACTACAGGATCAGGAAGCCTACCTGCAACATGCACACCACAGTACATTTTGCTGACAGTAGTAAAACTAAGCCAAAGGTAAAAGGTTTATCTGAAAAATCTCACTGAGGAAGTACACCTACATCAGCTATTTTTAACCTCTGGAATGTTATAAGTTGCACATCAGTTTATAGCCTTCTTTGTTCACAACCACTAGAACAAGGGCCCATTTTCCCCTTGAACGGTCAATCTGGAACTTCCATGAAAACTGTTAAACCTCGCCTTATATCTGCTGAGCTTCTAAAACATTTTTAGAGTAGAACTTCCTAAACTTCATCATACATACCCCTCCTCCATGCTACCACCTGGAAACATCAATTTATTGCCCAGATTACAAAGAAAATCAATTACTGAATAACATCATACCCTGAATGGAAAATGGAGTCATAGGTTTTACCTGAGCTTAAAACAAACATGACGAAAAAAGTATAGCAAACTTAAAACCAGGAGCCGCCCACATTTCTTGCTCATACATGACAAAATACGTACTTCTGAAACAGAAGTATCTGCACAGGGAATTAGGCCCTACACACTATCCTCTGCCCCCTAATTATCAAAACATCAATCCAAACAGACCATTGCATCCCTAACCTACAGAATCTATTGATATCAGACTTCAGGTGAGAAATCACCCCTTATACAACTGTGATCACTCCTTTTTGGACTTTAAATGTCACTTATTTTCTTAACATAAAATGATCTTAATAAAGAGGAAAGTGCATAAGAATAGGAGAAATAAGCAGTGTCTACTCTAGAGCTGTAACAGGAATCCTTGTAACGATGTTCTGGGTCTGGCCACCTCAAAACATTTATCCCTGGCAGAAAAGTAGCAGCGAGGTAACAAGTATTTCCAAAACCCGGGCTGGGATTTGTTGTGCCTTCAGCTGGCAAAGTCCAGAAAATATGACAACAATAGCCATTTTTCACAGCAGCCACCCAAGGAGGTGGTCACTAATGTTTGTCAACAGTGATGAAATCCAGTAGCTCTCTGGGAGAGATCTGAATTAGTGGTGGTGAGAGGCTATTTCCTGAACCCCAAATTAGAATCCTTCATAAACTACTGCAGTCTCCTGCTTGGTCCTGAAATAAGAGACAATGAATGAAACCAAATAATTTTTAACCCTTGTTGTGAATTTATATTTCTTACTATTTAACCAAGAAATTACCAAGGAATTACAAATGTTTACCCTGTCATTGTGTCACCAAGCTAGACAATACTGGAGAGAGTGGAGGCATCACTGCTGTCTTACAACTTCTACCCCCACAAACTCCTTCTGTCCCCCTATTAAAGGACAGGGCCATGCCTCCATATTAGATCTGCTCCTAGGCTGCCCAGAAATGAGGCTTTCAGACAGGTCTGTGCAGTAATGAACATAACAACTTTCTGAAATGTGGAGAGAAAATATGAAAGATTTTAATGCCAGACTTCATATCTGAGCCAAAAACAAGTCCTTTCTGTCAGCTAGACAGCTGGATGACAGACAGATGACAAGTGGACCTAATGAGTGAGCAGAAAGTTGAGATTTCTTTCCTTTTCCTCCATGCTATCAACTTGAGTCTTCAAAGGTCCTGAAGATTCTGAGACAGATTTTAATTTTGAACACAACCTCCTAAAAAGTGAGGTATAAAATTATCTTCAACTTCTAATTTGCAAATTTGATACTACCAATGCAAGTGTTTAACTGAGATGCATAAAAGCCTTTCTCCTCAAAAGGCTCAGATTTAACTAAAATTGTCACTTTTAAAAGAAAGTTTATGGCTAAAATGTATATCATCATTACCAGAAGGAATATGATTGTGTCTGGAGCCCATTTCACTAGAAAGCTGGAAGTCTTCTATCAGAAGGGTTTAAATGTGTTTCTTCTATTCTGGTGATTAAACAGTAAGCTCTTGGGGAGTGATTTGTTTTTATCTTTACAGTGATCACCTATCAAATTGTTTTACTTTGATATTATAGCCCCAAACTGGAGTTGAAGAGTTCTAGACAGTTCAAGAGTCTAAGAACTACAGTTCTTGAGTCCAACCTCCTGGAAAAGTGAAGTATAAAACTCTGGCTCCAACTGCTTGTTCCGGTACTTGTTGACAATGTCAGTGATTTTCTGTTTCCGGCGGACATGTGGTGGACTGTAGGAGTCACTCTCCAGCCTCTTTCTTCTACAAATATTAATTACAGTCTGCCTCACCAGGAAACCTTGAAAACAGAAGGTTTTAAAACAATGTGAATCATCAGTCAGCTAGGTGAACTCTCAGTACTGAAGTGAACTATTCTCCACAAACTCAAACTATCAGCCCATTTGCGAAGCTCTTCCCATCCCCAGAGAGACGGACAGAGCTCGATGAAGATAAAACTATCAGAAGAAACATACAAAGACAAGGAAAAACAGAATAAAAATCTGGTCTGATGACCCAGTTCCTGCCCTGGATTACAAATAACTATCTTCATTTTCTAATACTGGAATTTTGTGAATTATAGTTTTACTCATACTTCCTAGATTAAGCACACTTCAAAGCTTGCTTCCTTTTGAACAAGACCACAGAATTTTTCTACATGTGGGCCCTATTTAGTAACATATTTCCTTATTTCTACTTCATTTTGGCTCATAAAAATATATTTTAAAAAAAGACACGACAACCCTTCAACCACATGTGAAGACCTTACCGAGTGCTCGCCTGCTGACGATCATCCCATCCACAAGAGGTATGACCATGTTAAATTTTCCAGTGGCTCCTTGAATTTTTATCCGGAATAATCCAGTGTTTAAAGGGTGAATGAAGATGACAGGAACTTCCTTCTCAAGAGTGGTAGATCTTAAAAAAGGAAAACACTTTTTACCCCAAATAGTATGTGTAATATAAGACTACCCAGTGACTTGTTTTCAGGAAGAGTTTGATAAGAGCCAAGGGGTCAGTCTGCTGAGGCCTCTTCCTGGAGGCCCCTGATGAAACACCCCAACACCTGACCCTAAATACCCATCACTGGGGCTGGGTGTTTTGAACGGACAAAAAAGGCACTAAAAATGTGCTTAGAAAACCACTGGGGACATGGAGCGGAAGAAAAGGCCAGAGAAATCTATTGGGGGAGCTATGAATCTAGCAACCAGCTATGGGGACTTGCACTCAGTTCCTCTTCATTGTAAGGAACAAAAGTGAGCTGAGACAAGTGCAGGGAACCCCACTACAGTCAACACTGGCACCTCAGAGCAAAAATGGGACTCATGGGAACCCCTGATAAAATTTTTTTTCAGAGGATGGGGGAGGAGGTTAGGAGGGACTCCTGGGCAGAGGTGATAAACGGCGACATCTTGGCAGAGCCAAAGCCATTAAAGCCTCTGAACAAGTAACCGGTGCTAAGAAAGCAATCATACCTTTGGGAGACCGAGTGACACATCACAAGTCAGGTATGTGCCAGTGCATCTAGACATGCCTGTGAGGTTCTGTGATGTTACATGTCAGGGTTGGTGTTTTGTTTGTTTGCTTCTAATTGTTTTGCAACACAATGAGCTTTCCTTCTATATAGGTAAAGTGATGTTGGCCAAAGCAACAGTGAGTCACCTTTTCAAGACATTAACTAAAAATCAATCCTATACTAATTCTAGCCTCAAGACAAATCCTAAACTTTGCTAATGTACTAATTAAATACAAACTGTCTAATATTTTAGAACTTTTGACATAAAAATATTAAAACACTAACAAAAATGAGTATAAGACAAATGTTTCCTTTCAAAGAAGTTCTAGAAAATCCATCTCATGAAAACTATTTTAGTCTCTTCAGGAAAAATAAAAACAGGACTGTTCTGAAGTAAAAGAGACTGAAGGAATTAATACTAGATGCAAGGTCTGGGAATAGATTCTGGTTTGAACAAATGAGCTATAAAGGATGTTTTAGGGAAAATAGAGAAATTTTAATGTATACTGGTCACTAGATGAAATTAAGCAATTTTTATTAACTTTATTATCATGATGTTATCTTTATCTACTTAAAAAGTGTTCTAAATTTTTAGAGATGTATACTCAAATACTTAGAACATTAGAATATCTCTACTAGGTGTATCGGTTAATAATGCAGATTTTGTAAACAAAGAAAACAGGATAATTTCAAGAAAAACACCAAAAGTGCTTTATTTAAAGTAATATCCATCATGAGCTACACATTTCCCCCATCTTTCAGGTAATTTGTGGGTACTGTCCCAATAGAACTTATCTTGTTTTGAGGCAAACCATTCAGAGACCCAATTTTCCACTTCTTTGTATGTTTTGAAGTGCTGCTCAGAAAGTGCATGTGCCATCGATCGAAACAAATGGTAATCCGAAAGAGCAAGGTCTGGTAAATACGGCGGGTGGGTTAATACTTCCCAGGCAAGATCTTTTAATGCAGTGGTTCTCAACCTTCCTAATGCCGCGACCCTTTAATACAGTTCTTCATATTGTGGTGACTCCCAACCATAAAATTATTTTCGTTGCTACTTCATAACTGTAATTTTGCTATTGTTATGAATCGTAATGTAAATATCTGATATGCAGGATGTATTTTCATTGTTACAAACTGAACATAACTAAAGCCTAGTGATTAATTACAAAAACAATATGTAATTATGTATTTAGTATGTGTTTTCCGATGGTCTTAGGTGACCCCTGTGAAAGGGTCATTCGACCCCCAAAGGCGCCGCGACCCATAGGTTGAGAACTGCTGTTTTAATGTGTCTTTAACTGGTTTTGAAGTGTGTGATGGTGCGTCATCATGAAGCAAAATTACTTTGCGGTGTCTTCTGGCACATTCCAGGCGTTTCAAAATCAAAGCGTGGTTCAAACGGATTATTGTTGTCAGTAGTGATCAGTATTAATGGTTTCACCTGGTTTTAGAAGCTCATAGTACACCACACCTTCCTGATCCCACCAAACGCAGAGCATTGTCTTCTTTCTGAAGTGATTTGGCCTTGCAGTCAATGTTGACGATTGACCTGGATCAACCCATGATTTTGTGCATTTGGGATTCTCAAAATAAATCCACTTTTCATCGCCAGTAACAATTTGATGCAAAAAAGATTTTCTTTCATGCTGTTGAAGCAACATTTTACTGATGACTTTTCGGTTTTCCATTTGTCTTTCGTTCAGTTGATGTGGCACCCATTTTCCTTCCTTTAAAATCTTTCCCATTGCTTGTAAACGACCTGAAATTGTTTGCTGAGCAACGTTTAATTGTTCTGCATGTTGTTTTTGAGTTTGACATGCATCTTCATCTAATAATGCTTGTAATTGTTGGTCTTCAAACTTTTTCAGTTGACCTGGATGTTCTTTGTCTTTCACATTGAAACCATCACTTTTAAACCAATGTTCGCAAGTATCTTGAGATGGAGCATGTTCACCATAAGCTTCCCAAAGTATTCAGCAGCACTTTTTTTCAAAATAATGAATTAAAACTTCCTGCAAATGCTCTTTTTTTGGCACGAAATTCGACATTTTTAAGTGTAAAAATATCTATGATGTTAACACCTTCAGAAAATTTGACATATGAAGTTTTGAAGCTTGTTGTCAATACAACAAAATAGCATACATATCAAATCGCATATATCAACATATGTGTAACTCCATCTATTGAAAAAAATCCGCATTATTAACCGATACACCTAGTAAATTGCTTTAAAATACCTTGGCATAAAAAACCAGCTCCTGACAATTTACTCTGTACCATGTTAGACATTAGAATATGCTTAATAACTTTAAAAAAAAAATTCCTTTTTTGTTGTTAATCCTCATCAGAGGGTATTTTTTCCCATTGATTTTTTTTTTTAGAAAGAGTGGAAGGGAGGGAGGGAGAAAGAGGAGGAGGAAGGGGGTGGGGAGAGGGGGAGAGAGAGCGTGAGACAGAGAGAGAGAGAGAGAGAGAGAGAGAGAGAGAGAGAGAGAGAGAGAGAGAAAGAGAAACAGTGATGTGAAAGAGACACATCAATTGGTTGCCTCCCACAAGATCCCTGAACTGGGGCTAGGGATAGAACCTGCAAACACAGGTACGTGCCCTTGACCAGGAATCGAACCCATGATGACCCTTTGGTGCACGGGCCAATCCTCCACTAGCTAGGGCCAAAAACACAAAGTTTTATTAATGACTTGACCTCTTCTAGAAATTTTAAAATATGATAAAATAAATTATCTTTACTGACTTCATTCTACAACAATAATCCAACAATGTTAGACTAAATTCATCTTACACGCAATACAAACCAGACCATGTACACTGAAGGAACCTACTCAAAGTTAAAATATCAGGTTTAGCCTGATATCAAGGGTAGCTCTGTGAGATGTGAGAGATGAGGTTAGCATTTGGATTTAGATTCTTAAATCCTTCACTAATTGAATATGTGATGATGAGGAATATTTTATCCCATTTGCAAAATGAAGATGATAATTGTACCCTTGGAATTATTTTAAAGTTATCTGTTTAAGCCAAAAACAGTTAAGCAAAAAAATCTTGAAACTATAAAGCCTATACAGATACATTGTGACTATTCTGGCAATCATATTATTTTCTTCTTATCCCGTTTACGCATGGGCCACTAAAATAAAAATCTTAACAATTTTTTAATAAAGTTTAAAATATTTTTCCACTAAATAGCTCATGTGATGAGGATATTTTAACTGCTATCTGTCCAGAATGTTTTGACCAATTTAACTCCATTATTTTATCTAATACTAGAGGCCCGGTGCACAAAATTCATGCGGGGATGGGGACGGGGGGTGGGGGGGTGGAGGTGGCAGCGGTCCTCAGTCTGGCCTGCACTCTCTCCAATCCAGGACCCCTCGGGGGATGTTGGGCCTAAACTGGCAGTCAGACATCTCTCTTGCAATCTGGGACTGCTGGCTCCTAACCACTCACCTGCCTGCCTGCCTGATCGCCCATAACTTCCTCTGCCTGCCGGCCTGATCGCTCCTAACTGCCTCTGCCTCGGCCCCTACCACCATGGCTTTGTCAGGATGACCAGAAGATGGTCGACCCAGTCTAATTAGCATATTACCCATTTATTAGTATAGATTGCTACCCTATTATCAGTTTTCATTAACACTTAGATGCCTTCACATCTCCATTTGTCTTTTTGCTGCAGATAAATGTAAAACAGCAATTAATTATGCCTTTTAAAAATCCTGCTAATTTGATCACCTTATGCACTTATCTACAAAGGTCTTTTGGTCCTCCCCTCCTCCCCCATTGTTTGGTTATGATTGTCTTCATCCCATTTGTTTCATAAATCTTTCCTGATTAAACTGCAATCAACATATTCTAAAAGACATGCTGATAAACTTCAAGCAAATTAAGAGTGTACCTCAGAGAAGTGCTACTATTTGCAGTAGTTTCCACACCAGTACTGATTTCTGTCATCAGGTCTGAGAGGGGAAAGTTTTCTGGAAGAAAATAATAGCATTGCAATTAATATCTCCCTTCTATTTCCCAAACAAATAATAGGAAATCTAATTTCCTAATCTCTCTACACAAGTAGGCAACAAATATTTGGACTATGCTATCCTACAATATAATCTTACAATATAAACTATTCCTCACAAATAAAGAGTTCTCCCTCAACACATATTTTTGCTAAGTTCATCTAAAGCAGAGAGTTGTTAGAGAACGTGATCTGTAGTCTTTGAGGGCTTGGAAAGGGTTGTGGAGGGGCTGGAAAGCAACTATCACACTTTCCCACAAACTCTGAGCCAGATGAGATTCTAAGCTAAATATGCATTTCTAAGATTCTTATGTTGCTTATATAAAAGTCATGAAGAACTTATCCATAGCAGAATTCCTAAGAATAAATTAATCTTTACACTAAATCTAGATAGCAGGGTTCCAGGGAAGAGGGTGAGGGAAGTGCTCCCCCTTCCCCAAAGTCCTGGGGTGAGTAGGACCAAGTGGCAATAGACCATTAACTGTCATACCATACCAAGCAAAACTAAAGATTTCATATCCACTAGTCTCATCAAATCTTCACAACTATGAACTAGGGAACACGAGTGTCTCCACTGAACAGATAAATACTCCAAAGCTTAAGGAAACCGAGTGGTGCAGCTGGGATGCAGACCCAGGTCTCCTGAATTCCAGTCCCAGCTTCTGGCCGCCACACCACGCCTATGCTGCCATTCCCTTTAGACCTTTAGAAAGTCACGGTCATTCTAATTTTATTTATAGACAACGTCCTTATAATATAGTACCTATATCATCATAGCGTTCCACCCAGACTACAGACACTCTTGTTTCAGGTCCAAGGGGAGGCACGGGGCGGCCCTGAGGCAGCTTCTTCATTCTGGAACTGGGACTGAGCTATATGAGGCAGAGAAAAGCAGGAGAGGAGAAAAAAAAAAAAGAACTGGCTTAATTAAACTATAATCATACAGTCCTCAAGCTGCCCAGTGA